TGTTTCTGCCTCGTGCGGGAATCGAACCCGCGCCACAGAATTAAGAGTCCTGCGCGCTATCCACCAGGCTACGAGGCCTGTGTGTGTGTGTGTTCTGTGGTTGTAATGTGTGCGTGTGTGTTTTGTGGTTGTCATGTGTGTGTGTGTGTTCTGTGGTTGTCATGTGTGTGTGTGTGTTCTGTGGTTGTCATGTGTGTGTGTGTGTTCTGTGGTTGTCATGTGTGTGTGTGTTCTGTGGTTGTCATGTGTGTGTGTGTTCTGTGGTTGTCATGTGTGTGTGTGTTCTGTGGTTGTCATGTGTGTGTGTGTGTTCTGTGGTTGTCATGTGTGTGTGTGTTCTGTGGTTGTCATGTGTGTGTGTGTGTTCTGTGGTTGTCATGTGTGTGTGTGTGTTCTGTGGTTGTCATGTGTGTGTGTGTGTTCTGTGGTTGTCATGTGTGTGTGTGTGTTCTGTGGTTGTCATGTGTGTGTGTGTGTTCTGTGGTTGTCATGTGTGTGTGTGTGTTCTGTGGTTGTCATGTGTGTGTGTGTGTTCTGTGGTTGTCATGTGTGTGTGTGTGTTCTGTGGTTGTCATGTGTGTGTGTGTGTTCTGTGGTTGTCATGTGTGTGTGTGTGTTCTGTGGTTGTCATGTGTGTGTGTGTGTTCTGTGGTTGTCATGTGTGTGTTCTGTGGTTGTCATGTGTGTGTGTTCTGTGGTTGTCATGTGTGTGTGTGTGTGTGTGTTCTGTGGTTGTCATGTGTGTGTTCTGTGGTTGTCATGTGTGTGTGTTCTGTGGTTGTCATGTGTGTGTGTTCTGTGGTTGTCATGTGTGTGTGTGTGTTCTGTGGTTGTCATGCGTGTGTGTGTTCTGTGGTTGTCATGCGTGTGTGTGTTCTGTGGTTGTCATGTGTGTGTGTTCTGTGGTTGTCATGTGTGTGTGTTCTGTGGTTGTCATGTGTGTGTGTGTGTTCTGTGGTTGTCATGTGTGTGTGTGTGTGTCTGTGGTTGTCATGTGTGTGTGTGTGTCTGTGGTTGTCATGTGTGTGTGTGTTCTGTGGTTGTCATGTGTGTGTTCTGTGGTTGTCATGTGTGTGTGTGTTCTGTGGTTGTCATGTGTGTGTGTGTTCTGAGGTTGTCACGTGTGTGTTCTGTGGTTGTCGTGTGTGTGTGTGTGTTCTGAGGTTGTCATGTGTGTGTTCTGTGGTTGTCATGTGTGTGTGTGTTCTGAGGTTGTCACGTGTGTGTTCTGTGGTTGTCGTGTGTGTGTGTGTGTTCTGAGGTTGTCATGTGTGTGTTCTGTGGTTGTCATGTGTGTGTGTGTTCTGTGGTTGTCATGTGTGTGTGTGTTCTGTGGTTGTCATGTGTGTGTGTTCTGTGGTTGTCATGTGTGTGTGTGTTCTGTGGTTGTCGTGTGTGTGTGTGTGTGTTCTGTGGTTGTCGTGTGTGTGTGTTCTGTGGTTGTCGTGTGTGTGTGTTCTGTGGTTGTCGTGTGTGTGTGTGTTCTGTGGTTGTCGTGTGTGTGTGTGTTCTGTGGTTGTCATGTGTGTGTGTGTTCTGTGGTTGTCGTGTGTGTGTGTTCTGTGGTTGTCGTGTGTGTGTGTTCTGTGGTTGTCGTGTGTGTGTTCTGTGGTTGTCACGTGTGTGTGTTCTGTGGTTGTCACGTGTGTGTGTGTGTTCTGTGGTTGTCATGTGTGTGTGTTCTGTGGTTGTCATGTGTGTGTGTTCTGTGGTTGTCATGTGTGTGTGTGTGTTCTGTGGTTGTCATGTGTGTGTGTTCTGTGGTTGTCATGTGTGTGTGTTCTGTGGTTGTCATGTGTGTGTGTTCTGTGGTTGTCATGTGTGTGTGTGTGTGTGTTCTGTGGTTGTCATGTGTGTGTTCTGTGGTTGTCATGTGTGTGTGTTCTGTGGTTGTCATGTGTGTGTGTGTGTTCTGTGGTTGTCATGTGTGTGTGTGTGTTCTGTGGTTGTCATGCGTGTGTGTGTTCTGTGGTTGTGATGTGTGTGTGTTCTGTGGTTGTGATGTGTGTGTGTTCTGTGGTTGTAATGTGTGTGTGTGTGTTCTGTGGTTGTCATGTGTGTGTGTGTGTGTGTTCTGTGGTTGTCATGTGTGTGTGTTCTGTGGTTGTCATGTGTGTGTTCTGTGGTTGTCATGTGTGTGTGTGTTCTGTGGTTGTCATGTGTGTGTGTGTTCTGAGGTTGTCACGTGTGTGTTCTGTGGTTGTCGTGTGTGTGTGTGTGTTCTGAGGTTGTCATGTGCGTGTTCTGTGGTTGTCATGTGTGTGTGTGTTCTGAGGTTGTCACGTGTGTGTTCTGTGGTTGTCGTGTGTGTGTGTGTTCTGAGGTTGTCATGTGTGTGTTCTGTGGTTGTCATGTGTGTGTGTGTTCTGTGGTTGTCATGTGTGTGTGTGTTCTGTGGTTGTCATGTGTGTGTGTGTTCTGTGGTTGTCGTGTGTGTGTGTGTGTGTTCTGTGGTTGTCGTGTGTGTGTGTTCTGTGGTTGTCGTGTGTGTGTGTGTTCTGTGGTTGTCGTGTGTGTGTGTGTTCTGTGGTTGTCATGTGTGTGTGTGTTCTGTGGTTGTCGTGTGTGTGTGTTCTGTGGTTGTCACGTGTGTGTGTGTTCTGTGGTTGTCGTGTGTGTGTGTGTTCTGTGGTTGTCACGTGTGTGTGTTCTGTGGTTGTCGTGTGTGTGTTCTGTGGTTGTCACGTGTGTGTGTGTTCTGTGGTTGTCGTGTGTGTGTGTGTTCTGTGGTTGTCACGTGTGTGTGTGTGTGTGTGTTCTGTGGTTGTCGTGTGTGTGTGTGTTCTGTGGTTGTCACGTGTGTGTGTGTGTTCTGTGGTTGTCATGTGCACCACATGGATATACCAACGCATTGTTTGCTGCGTCAAGTGCATATATCGACGAATGGTTCATGAAGACATATTTTCAGGTTAAAATGCATTAATTATTATATTCTGTTCCTAAATGCAAGTAATATAAGGCGTCTTGTATGTTTTCCTCACTGACTGTGCATCCGTGCGTCACTCATCGTGTGTTTATGCGTCACTGATCGTGCCTTCACGCGTCATGATGTTCACATTCAATTGATGCGTCAGTAATTCCGTCCATGCGTCCTACGCCCATGTGTCATTCCGTTTGTGCGTCCAAACATCCGGGTATGCCATTTGTGCGTCCGTAATCCCGCCGGCGTTTATTATAAATGTGTGGCTGTAAGTACAGTATGTACTCAACTATTTGTGCTTGCGGGGGTTGAGCTCTGGCTCTTTGGTCCCGCCTCTCAACTGTCAATCAACAGGGTTACAGGTTCCTGAGCCTATTGGGCTCTATCATATCTACACTTGAAACTGTGTATGGAGTCAGCCTCCACCACATCACTGCCTAATGCATTCCATTTATTAACTACTCTGATATTAACAAATACTTTCTAATGTCTTTTATGACTCATTCGGGCACTCAATTTCCACCTGTGTCCCTTAGTGTGTGTGTGTGCCCCCTTTTATGTTAAATAAACTGTCTTTGTCTATCCTATCAATTCCTTTGAGAATCTTGTATGCAGTGATCATGTTTCCCTCTAACTCTCCTGACTTCCAGCGACGTGACATTCTTAATTTCCGTAGTCTCTCCTCATAGTTCATGCCCCTCAGTTCGGGTACTATTCTGGTGGCAAACCTCTGAACCTTTGTATGTGGTAATCATGTCTCTCCGAACTCTTCTATCTTTAAGCGACGTGAGGTGCAATTCGGTCAGCCATTCCTAGTAATTCATACCTCTTGGTACTGGAACTAGTCTAGTAGCATACGTTTGGACCTTCTAAAGCTTCGTCTTATGCATGACAAGGTCTGGAGTCCTGTGGGACTCTACTAGTGACGTCTCGCCACTCTGAGACCTCACTGTGTGAGTGAGTGAGTGAGAGAGAGTGGCATCAACGACTAATATCCTTATTATGAACAGGACATATAGTTAAGTAGGAAGCTCTTGGTTAACTTTGTGTGTGTGTGTACTCGCCTAATATTTGTACTCGCCTATTTGTGCTTGTGGGGGTTGAGTTCTGGCTCTTTGGTCCCGCCTCTCAACTGTCAGTCAACTGGTGTACAGGTTCCTGAGCCTACTGGACTCTATCATATCTACACTTGAAACTGTGTATGGAGTCAGCCTCCACCACATCACTGCCTAATGCATTCCATTTGGTGTGTGCGTGCGCGCGTGCGTGTGTATTTACTATTGGGTGCCTGCAGAAGCGAGCTATTAGCTCCTAGACCCCGCCTTTCTAACCAATCTATTTTTACTCTATTATATCTACTACATACATATCTAACACACGCACTCACACATCACCAAGAAGCAGCCCGTAGCAGCTGTCTATAACTCCCAGGTACCTATTTACTGCTTGGTGAACAGGGGCATCAGAGTGAAAGAAACTGCCCATTTGTTTCCGTCTCTGCCGGGGATCGAACCCAAACCTTTATGTCTACGAATCCCGAGCGCTGTCCACTCAGCCGTCAGGTGTGTGTGTGTGGTGCGAGCGAGCGCGGGCGGGCGTGTTTTTTCTTGTTTTGTTTACCTGATACCTAGTATCAGGCATACTAGGTATCAGGTAGACGATCCTCAGTACCCAGTTTGGGTACTCTGGAACGAAATTACCTATATACTTTTTCTCTATCAGAAAGTATCCTAAAAAGGATTTGCGAGTCCATTCCAGTATGTTATCGATATCCTCATATACAGGTTGTTTTAGCCGCTTCCAGCTTAGGCTACGTTGTACCTTTTAGACCTCCGGTTATCACCACTAAGGAGCCTTAATCTTGCAAGATGTCTCAAGACCTCTAAGACCATCACGGGTTTAAGAACGGATCTCTGCTGAGACTCCTCTACTTAGGTTATCGCCATTCTCACGCTTTATAAAAAATATAAATATTTTAAAACTACTATAGCCTATCGCTTATTTAAAATAATGTTCCAAGCCACAACAATTAATTTTCACTCTTTGGAAAACATGCTAAACTTAACTATTATTTTTACAGATGGAAAACAGAGGATATCAGAAGGAAGGGCACTGTTCCACCTCCGACCCTGACCAGAGTATATACCCAGCCGCGCCATTCACTCACCAGGTACTTTCCAATTCCCCTTGATAGGCTACTATCCTGCTTCTCAGGCAGGCCTACTGACCCGCTCAGTGGGTACTGCCCAGCTCCTCCCCAAGTAGTCACACTCTTCAATATACTGCCCGACCCATTTACACAACATCATCCTATTACAGGCGATGAGTCACAATAACGTGGCTAAAGTATGTTGACCAGACCACACACTAGAAGGTGAAGGGACGACGACGTTTCGGTCCGTCCTGGACCATTCTCAAGTCGATTGTGAGAATGGTCCTGGACGGACCGAAACGTCGTCGTCCCTTCACCTTCTAGTGTGTGGTCTGATCAACATCCTATTAAAAGGATGCCCCCAGACGAAGTATTCCTCGTCCTCATTTCTTTTAGCATAGGCTATTACAAACGCAAGACTTCACAGGGAGCAGCAGGGCATATATTAGACACACAGCGCCTCTGGTGACACAGGAAGCCAGAGACGTCACGGTGCACCCTGGTTCATGTCCAGAGATGGGGGGGGGACTGTTTAATATGCAGTCAGGTTATTGACTCTCACTGTGTGCACAGTTGTAGCATTAAATATTATGATAGATATCGTGAGGAGACATTCACATATGGGACTAATAGAACAAGAACCCGGCAATGTGATGTTATAGTGGCCAGAATACGCCTGGGATATAGACGTATCTGGCAGCTTTCTCAAAACCCAAATGTCGAGTACACAATGTGTCAACTTTGTGAAAGAGAAAACATGCACTCTCTTGAACATTATATTGTAGAATGTCCCATACTGACTGACTTTCGCCCTCCTGGGCTAAGGTATGCTGAACTCTGTAGTTACTATATGAGTACTGGAACACTTGATGATATATTGGACTTGTATCCAAAATTGACCATGTAATGTATCAATCATACAATGTATGTATGTGATGTAACTATATAACCTGAGCTTGTAAAAGCACCTTCATCACCTTCAGTGATTAAGTGCTTAATTGCACACTAGTTTCTTTATCAGCTACCTCACCCTGTCAGGGTAAATGAGACAAATGTATGTGAATGCATGTATGTGTGTATATATGTATGTGTATGTGTGTGTGTGTATGTATATGTATGGGTATAAAGCATATATGGAAGCTGATCAGAATTACATTTCACCTTTGTGAATGTACATTAATGACACTGTAAAAGACACATCTAATACTTTATGTAGGGCGTACGTAAATCTGTGTATCTTTGTATTTACGTATGTAGGTTAGCTTAGCATTTTAAAAGCACCGAATCACCTTCTGTGGTTGAGTGTTCAATAAACCCTTGAACTATATGTTTAACACTTCTCTAACCCTGTCCATGGAGGACAGAAGAAAATGTATATATGCTGGTTAGCATTGTAAATGTGTGGCCACGTCTGTGGTAGAAAATAAAAAAAAAAAAAAAAAAAAAAAACTGTGCACATACTGCCTCCCAGGAAGTAAACGACCAGTACACTTAAAATATATTAAATTAAACTCACGTGGTTTACTATCCTACTCCCCCCCCATGTAGTTTACTATCCTACTCCCCACGTGGTTTACAGACCGATTCTCTACATAGTTTACTATCCTATTCTCCCACGTGGCTATTAACCTGCTTCCACATAGTTAACTATTCTATCCGTACGTAGAGTACTATATCCTAGTTGCCCCATATAGTTTATACTATCTCGCTATATGCTGTCTCAGGCTTGGTTATTTGTCCTCATTTGAGATACAATAATGACTCGTGTGTGTGTCCTCCAGGTGGACTTGTCGCACCCTCGGGCCACGTGCACCTGTGAGGAGAATCAGAACACTTGTACATGTGGATCATCCTCCCCTGCCAAGCCTAAGTCCAAGGTAAGCGCGTTCCCCAGCCTGTGCCGGCTTGCTGCCCCCCGCTATGTCTTGGTGCACTGGTGCGCTCTCTTCAGATTATAGTCGCTGTTATTCCTGGGTTTGAACTATTGATATGTTGTATTTTAAAGAAGATTTGCTTCATAGCATTGTGCCCGATGCTTGTACTATGATGCCGTTAATCCTTTTGGAGGGTTTGGGGGGGGGGAGGATTTTGGCTGGATGCCTAACGCTGAAATTATTTCTTGTTCAATGTTCCTTAATTGTGTTGTTCTAGAAAGCAGAATATGTATATTTTTTTGTATATATACTGATGTACCTGAAAGTCTGCTTATAAACTTGTCGCCAAGTTCTTGCAGGGTTGGCGTTCAATCCCCAATGATCAAAGTGGTTCGGCACCATTCCCTCACTGTCCTCATACCCCTGCTCTTAGTCTTAATGTTAAGACTATAGTACACTAGAACACTAACTGATAGAACCTGGTATCACTATCTTATGATCTACCAACAATTTTACTTCTAAAGCTCAAATTAATACTAGGTGTAGAGGAGCAGTGCTGTCACCCACCCTGCGCCAGGCTTCACCAAGCGTTGACGTGACCACTTACGACACCGCTACATCTTAACTCCAGCATGGCAGCTTAGTCTCCATCTATTAAACAGTTTACGAGCTTGGAAACGCTGAGAGATATTCTCGACCCAGTGTTATTATTGTTACGTAGCCTCGTAGCGCCTCCGAGCTCATTAACAGTTTAATTAAAACAAACTAAGCCGCCACAACCTAGGAAAGATGTAAAGGTTTCGCGTCTCAACTCAGTCAGCCAGACCAAACCGTTATAATGGTATATAGAGCACCGTGTTAACGTGACGGTCACCACCACGAGTGCTGTTACCCATCAAGCTCACCAGCTTTACTAACTGTATAGGAAATCAGTGGTAACACACTCGCCCTGCGCATCGCGAGCAATTTGGCCTGGGTTCGTATCCTGGCCGGGGAGGATTGTCCAGACGAACAGTCGTCTGTTCCTGTATATCGTAAACAAAAAATCTGCAAAAATCTTTGCCAACTTCAACAGGTTGAATGTTCGTCACAGTCGTTTCATTAAATAGCGTAATGCTTCGTATTTTACACCATTCTGTTATTGAATTTGTTTCCCATTGTTAGAGGTAATAAGCCTTATCGAGGTCCCCCCCCCCCCCTCACCTGCAGAGACCTACATGACCAAAGAGCCAAAGCTCAACCCCCGCAAGCACAATTAGGTGAGTACAAGACCCAGGTCAAAGACTAACGTTCCCCTCCGGGATGCAACCCACAACAGTTTACTAACTCACTGCTTGGTAGAGGCATCACGTGTCAGGAAACGTTTCTCCCTCTCCGGGAATCGAACTCGGGTCCAATAAGTTATGAGTGCAGTATATGGGTCAATGAGTGATATATATAATCAGAATTCATCAAACATTAACGCAACAACTTGCAACATTCAGAAACCTGTACATCTTTCCTTGATCATTGCTGACGTTGTTTATATTCATAAAACATTTTACGAGCTTTGAAACTTCACAACCCAAGGTTATTATTGTTATAAACAAAATGTAAGCCCTCGTAAAACTGTTTAATAAATGTAAACAAAGCCGTCATGATTAAGGGAAGATATACAGGTTTCGTAAGGGGGTTGTGTAAATGATTAACGACTCCTGGTCCAGCTGGTGTCTTGCACTGTGTGTGGGGTGATCATTTTGTTATCGGGCGCTGTTAGCTTGGACTAGATTGCTACAATCTAGCATCGAGGCCAAACAGTGAACCTGTATGCGTTATCGAGTGCAGCGGACACTGCTGCTGTAGCCTTTGTGCCGTGTGAAGGGAGTGTGTCTTGTCCCGTCAGGTAACACTAGTGGGCCAGGCAGGGGTAAGGAGTTTATATATATATAAACCAAATTAAAAATTTATACTTGTGACGTCAGCTAAATATATAGCTTTACTGGGCAAGTTGTTTCTATTGATAGTTGCTTATATTGTGAAATTATGAGATGTTATTTAAAATATATACATACAAAAAGTGCAAAATGTATTGTTTAATTCATTTCTTGCAGGTTGAACTTCTGACTTGGGTGCAACCAAAGGGTTGGCTGCTCTTAGCCCTTGGCTTGGCCTTCGTAGCCTGGTGTGCTATCTTCTTCACACTGCTGAATCTGGACATGATCTAACATGATCGAACTAAAAAGCAACCGAGTAGAAATATTTAATTATTTTCGCGAGTGTTAGGCTAACAAAGTTAGAGCTTTGCAACTGTTAATGTCACCATTAATATATACGTAAACAAATAAAAACAAACTGAGAATAAATGTTAAATTAGGCCTGGATAATGGCTCATTCAGCACCAGACTGTCTAACTACTGGCGTTAATCCAGTTCAAGTTATTTTGGAAAATGAAACATGCGTGAAGGATTTTCAGTGTACTGATAAACCAACAACAAATATTGAAATAGCCAAAACGGTAATGGAACAAACGGAAGAATTGAAATCCAAGACTCGCCAAAGCCCCTCGGTGCAAGATGACCCCAAAAACGGCTCATTATTCACAGCAATAAATGAAAATCATGGCGAGATTGGTGACATCGGCCAGACAACCAATCATGGGGAGATTAGAGACATCAGCCAGGCAACCAATCAACATGACAGCGCGGTATGTGTGAATTCTTTCAGTTTTTTAACTAAACGTTTAAAATATGTATTTGTAAAAAGTGATAATATTTGATGAATAATTAGATGGAAGAGCACATTTTAGAAAAACTTTTCAATATGAACGAGGAGCCAAAACCTGTAGCATCTTCGTGAACATTATTCAAATTCAAATTTGTTTTATTCAAAAGAATGTGTGTACAAAGACCATAAGAGTAATTTACAATTGTGGGGACAAGAGTTACACATACTAATGATGACACTATTACGCAAAGCGTTTCGGGCAAAGCTTAAACTAATTGTGAACAAATTTAAAGGTTTAACGGGTATACACCTAATACCACAAGAGAAGTAAGCTAACAAAATTTGAAAAAAGTTAAAATAAATAGCAGACAATAAAACAATACGTACAATAAAAAGATAATTAATGATGTCGTTCTAAAGTGTCCTCTCCTAACCTACCACACGACCCAAAATAGAAAACGGGACAATGTCACTTTCGCCAGCCGCTTCCATTATCTAGTACGACGATTTTTGGCCTTAGGTAGAATATACGTCAAAAATGCGACGCTCTGTTAGGAGGACGGGTTAAACGATAGGCTGAGACTTACATTATGGAGTCAGTATAGTTCTAGCAAGATACGCCATAACTCCTCTACGGTCGCTGACGCTACACCTTCGTCCACACTATATATGAAACATTTTCGTTGTTAGTTTAGAATAGGTTATCTTATCGGGGCTTTAGTGTCCCCGCGGCCCGGTCCTCGACCAGACCTCCACCCCCCAGGAAGCAGCCCGTGACAGCTGACTAACACCCAGGTACCTATTTTACTGCTAGGTAACAGGGGCATAGGGTGAAAGAAACTCTGCCCATTGTTTCTCGCCGGCGCCTGGGATTGAACCCGGGACCACAGGATCACAAGTCCAGCGTGCTATCCGCTCGGCCGACCGGCTCCCAGCTAGGTTGGGTTAGGTTACGTAATTAGGTTTACGCTTGTTTACATGAGCAGCAATGACTTAAAGGGTACATAATGTTCTCAGGTTTTAGACCCTACTCACATAAGCAGGGTTCTGGACAAGTCCTGTAGCATGATAGTGTAAGTTTCACGGTTCAGAATCGAGGGGACCGGGTTCAATTCCGGGTGAGGACAGAAACGTCTGGGCATGTTTCTTTTCACCTCATGCACCAGTTCATCTAGCAATAAAATATGGCGAGTCGACTTGTGGGGTGGCATCCTGCAGAAGGTCAGTAGTTGGTCTTGGGGGCACCTCGATAAGCCAAATTACAGGCTTCCTGTCCCCGACGACGGAATTTAAAGTTATTGCCCATTGAACATGTGCAGATGTGGATTTACACAGCATAGGCTCCTCGCACAAGGTTCTTTATGTGGTGCTCAGGTGACAGTTTTCTATCCAGAACCACCCCCTAGATCTCTCTTCTTCAGAATAGTGGCTTAAGGCATTGTATGTACTAGCTCTATCTATAAACCGATCAATTTGTTGTAAAATCTCCTGTATGTACCTTACCTGAATAAACATTTATTATTTATTTATTTATAATTCTTTAGAGGCTTTTTAAATAATTTGTATGTGACCGATTTTCTCCTATTCCACGTGTCACTTAATTTGTGTCTGTTTGCGCTTATGTCAGTTTCTTCGTCTATTTTGTACAGTATGACTACAAATCTAATTATATTTGTCAGCATCTTAATATTCCATATGTCAATTTATAATTTATAAAAAAATTATTAAATGTATCTAGGTTTAACTTAAGGTGATCTCCGCAGGTGCCTGTGTGCCAGTCTTGCCAACACTTGTATGGCAAGACCAGTACAGTTGTCCTCACGCCCTCTACCCTCTGCCATACCCACGCCCACGCCCATGCCAACGCCCACGCTAACGCCCAACACCAAACATCTTTCCTCTCATCGCTCAAGCCGTGGAAGACACGCAGGTATGTTCAAGTATGTTTATTGAGACAAGAAAAAATACATCTCAAAGGGAATGGACCCTGTACGGCTAGTTTATTTATATATACAAGAGTTGTTACATTCTTGTACAGCCACTACTAGTACGCGTAGCGTTTCGGGCAAGTCCTTAATCCTACGGTCAGCGAAAAATCGTTTAACAACCAAGTACCCATATTACTTTTGAGTTACAGAGGCTACAGTTAAGGATTTGCGCCCAGTAAGTCCTTTCCGGCCAGGATACGAAATAGTAACACAGGTTATCTTCCTGGAACACGCCTCATATAGAAAAAGTTTAAACTAAATGAACAAATCCACAAGGGCCGTGACGAGGGTTCGAACCTGCGTCCGAGAGAATCCCAGACGCTGCCTTAATCAAATTCATACATTGGATGCATCACGCTATTGTGATTTGTGTGTGTTTAAACTAAATAATATTGGAAAGTAGGGGTTACGTTCTCAGATATAACAAAATATACATTACAGGTATACTTTCATTTAAAATAGTGTATTTACTATTTGTGCCTGCAGAATCGAGCTATTAGCTCTTGGACCCCGCCTTTCTAACCAACGTATTTTCCTCTATGTGTACTACATGTATATTTTCTAATACATACACACACACATCCCCAGGAAGCAGACCGTGGCAGCTGTCTAACTCCCAGGTACCCATTTACTGCTAGGTGAACAGGCGTATTAGTGTGAATGTATTTACTAAAAGAGGAACTTAACAATATGCCTTCAGCCGAACAAGTCTATGTGGGTGGGGACGAGGACAGGTTGACGAGTTTAGCAGTTACCAGGGAGGATGTTCTTAAACAAATAGTAAAACTCAAACCAAACAAATCCCCAGGGCCGGATGAAGTGTTTGCTAGGGTGCTTAAAGAATGCAAAGAGGAGCTTTGTGACCCACTGTCAACCATATTTAATAAATCAATAGAGTCAGGCAGAGTGCCAGAGTTTTGGAAAGTTGCTAATGTGATACCAGTTTTTAAGAAAGGAGATAGATCACTTGCGTCTAACTATCGACCAATTAGCCTAACGTCTATTGTGGGAAAGTTACTCGAATCTATAATAGCAAATAAAATTCGTCTTCATCTTGAAAAACATAAATTAATAATTGAGTCGCAACATGGTTTTATAAATGGCCGTTCATGTTTAACAAATTTGTTATCTTTTTATTCTAGCATTGTTGAGGCAGTTGATAGTGGTAAGGATTGCGATGTTGTATACCTTGACTTTAGCAAAGCTTTTGATACAGTGCCACATGAAAGACTGATTAAAAAAATAGAGTCTCATGGTATTGGGGGTGCTATATTAAGCTGGATTAGGGCATGGCTATACCAAAGGAAACAGAGAGTTAGTATAAATGGAATCAAGTCAGAGTGGGAAAATGTTGTAAGTGGAGTGCCTCAAGGCTCTGTCCTGGGACCTCTGTTGTTTATAATATATATAAATGATTTAGATTCAGGTTTGAGTAGCAACATTTGCAAATTTGCCGATGATACGAAAATCGGTAGGGAAATTAATTCGGAGGAGGACTCACTATCACTTCAAGTTGATCTAGATAGGGTTTTGAAATGGTCAAAGGATTGGCAGATGCAGTTTAATGCTGATAAATGTAAAGTTCTGAGGTTAGGTAATGATGATAGAGTTACAAGATACGAGCTAGATGGTGTTGTGATTGCGAAGTCGGATTGCGAAAGGGATCTGGGAGTTATGATTAGTAAGAATTTAAAACAAAAGGATCAATGCATAAATGTTCGTAATAAGGCAAATCGAACACTTGGATTTATTAATCGCAGCGTTAGTAACAAGACACCTGGTGTGGTTCTCAAGCTATATCTTGCTCTAGTTAGGCCCCATTTAGATTATGCAGTTCAGTTTTGGTCGCCATATTATAGAATGGATATAAATTCACTTGAACGTGTCCAGCGTAGGATGACTAAGTTAATTCCCCAAATTAGAAATCTTTCATATGAAGAAAGATTAACAAAGCTTAAGTTGCATTCACTGGAAAGGCGAAGAGTTAGGGGTGACATGATAGAGGTTTACAAGTGGATGAATGGACATAACCGGGGGGATATTAATAGGGTATTAAAAGTATCAACACAGGACAGAACACGAAACAATGGATATAAATTGGATAAGTTTAGATTTAGGAAAGACTTGGGTAAATACTGGTTCAGTAACAGGGTTGTTGATTTGTGGAACCAATTGCCGCGTAACATTGTGGAGGTGGGGTCCCTCGATTGTTTCAAGCACGGGTTGGACAAGTATATGAGTGGGATTGGGTGGTTATAGAATAGGAGCTGCCTCGTATGGGCCAATAGGCCTTCTGCAGTTACCTTTGTTCTTATGTTCTTATGAAACTGTCCCATTTGTTTCTGCCTCGGCCGGGAATCGAACCCGGGCTCTTAAGACTACGACCCAAGTGCTGTCCACTCAGCCGCGAGGCCATGTGTGTGTGTGTGTGTATGTATGTATGTATTCACCTAGTTGTGCTTGCGGGGGTTGAGCTCTGGCTCTTTCGGCCCACTTCAACTATCAATCAACTTCCCCCCCCCCTCACACACACAGGAAGCAGCTGGCTTCCAGGTACCTATTTACTGCTAGGTGAACAGGGGGCATCAGTGAAAAACTGATGAAAAGTTTAAACTAAATGAACAAATCCACAAGGGCTGTGACGAGGATTCGAACCTGCGTCCGGGAGCATCCCACGTTCTGCCCATATGTTTCCGCCATCGCCGGGGATCGATCATCGGTCCTTAGGACTACGAATCCCGAGCGCTGATGACTCGGGCACAGGTCCTGTGTGTGTGTGTGTGTGTGTGTGTGTGTGTGTGTGTGTGTGTGTGTGTCGTCTACCCAGCACTGTCATATAACGCTCTGAAACTATGGACGGTTTTGGCCTTCTCACATTACTTATTCCACCCGGTCGGAGTGGAATAAGGGAGCCGGTCGGCCGAGCGGACAGCACGCGGGACTTGTGATCCTGTGGTCCTGGGTTCGATCCCAGGCGCCGGTGAGAAACAATGGGCAGTTTCTTTCACCCTATGCCCCTGTTACCTAGCAGTAAAAATAGGTACCTGGGTGTTAGTCAGCTGTCACGGGCTGCTTCCTGGGGGTGGAGGCCTGGTCGAGGACTGGGCCGCGGGGACACTAAAGTCCCGAAATCATCTCAAGATAACCTCAAGATATCCTCAAAATATATCAAAAGATAACCTCAAAACCCGTGTACCACTGTTTGCGAAAGTGAATGTTATAATATTTTTTAGTGTGTCCATGCATGTTTGCGTGCATGTGTTGTCCACATGTGTGGGAGTGCCTGTGTTACGGCCTCACTTAGCCAGTAACCGGGTTCTTTTCAAATCAAACTTTGTGTGGCTCTTCTTACTCGATCCAACCCTTCTTCTTCTTCTTGATAGTAAGTGCAGTTTGCATGAAGGATTTGTCCTCCCGATGACAACCGATCCAACCCTATGTCATATGTTATTAAGAACTGCAGTAATAGTCTAACAGGAATGGAGGGGGGGGGGAGGTTAAACAATACTAAACAGAAAACCACCAACACGTGTACTTCTTAACTATATATACTTACGTACAACACAGCAGGTGCCACATTCACACAGGACAATTTAATACAACTTCTGTAATTATCTTTCCCGGCGAGTCCACTTCTATGGTACACCACTCAAGATTCCTTCCCTAAGTGTGTCTTATAGTACTCTCACTGGAGAATTCACCTTTCTCAGTAAATCATGGCCCAGTCTTCTACAGTAACGTCACGGTGTCGAAACTCCATTCCACTTCTAGCAACACTCTGGCAGAGGTCTCCACACAGGCTTCAATTATAACAAGCCTTAACAGCCTGACATTAATTCCATCTCATAACTCAACTTCACCATCCCGGGATACATTGGTCCAATCACTAATACTTCACTAAGTATAACAGACAAATCAGTCTACACCGACTCGGCCACGTGGTCCCACTGGAACATGTCTTGAGTTCAGGACTGCCCAGGGTGAACTGATTTCTGTCGACCAAAGTACCCTCCACATAACTTCTGAGGAGTAAAAGATAAATAATAAGAAGGAAACTACACAGGTGTCAATAAGATCACAGCCTTCCACCAGGGAACAGAAAATGGAGTTTGATCAACATCAACATGTGTGTGTACTAAAAATAAAGTCTTTTCCTTGGTTCTGTAATAAAGTGAACAAGTAAGCATGCACTAAGTGCATGTTTTATAAAAAATAGAGCATGTAATTTAAATTTTTGGTTATTAAATGAAAACTATTATGTCAAAAATGTGGTAAATGAGGTACAATAACGTGGCTAAAGTATGTTGACCAGACCACACACTAGAAGGTGAAGGGACGACGACGTGGTCAATGGTAAATAAATGTATAATATATAGGAAAAGGATCTGTTTACACTGTTAGCTATATGTTATGATGAGTGTCTTAGATTTTCCCATCTGTGTGGATTGCAGTCTAATGTAAACAATTCGTGTACCTGAAATAATTCCACTGTCGCCCCTAAATCAACACAACAACCTTGTCAACAACAACAAAAGCATGTGTTCTGCTTTTTTAATCCTCTTGTGAGCAGTCTATCATCCTCTTTTAATTCAATCTCTCCAAATAATTCATATAAAATCTTACGTATTGGTTAATTCTCCATGTTTGATTCATTAACAGCATTCTAATTAGTTGTAGCTGCCTGCCTTTTTCACGTCAGACATAATTGTTCGAGGTTAGAATGTCTCGTCTTGTGCTAAAATGGTTGTTTTATGGTTAAATTATTTTACCTATGATTCTACCAGTCACCCACGGATCTTACTCTCTTACTCTTACATTCTCTTACAGATATGAAGATCTATCCGGCTGCTCAGAAAATGGGAGCGAGTGTCAAGATAATAAAACAGGAAATCAAACTTCCATATGGCTGCGTCTCCTACCTCGCAACGCACCGTGGTGGCCGCGCACCAAGCTTATCCTGCTCATTATTGCTGGAATTTTGCCTTGGGTTTTCCTAGCAATTTATTTGGTATATACATTTAAGGTAAAAAGCCATGACAAGAATCCATGAGCACTAAAAGATTAAGAATAAATGCTCTTTACCCAGCTCATGCCGATGAAAGTCATGCAGTCTAGCGTCACAATGAAAGTCACAATGTGCCACCGTGTGGACTAAGCATGCAGGTTGTGGGGGTTCAGTGTGGTATATTTTGTCTACATGTCTTCATGCACACATACATCCATATTCAAATTTATAGTCTCATGCATTCCATTATGTACAGTAATTTGGTATACAGTATTTTCCTATTGCCAGAACTGTGATTAGTACTGTACTTACGTTTCATTATATTTTGCTCATCTAGGAATTAAATTGTCAAGTTGTCACAAACGATGATTGATTGATAAAGATTAAGCCACCCAAGAGGTGGCATGAGCATGAATAGCCCGTAAGGTTAACAAACATAAAATGTGATTTATAATACTATAGCATATTTTATTAATAAATAATAAATAACAAAATCTGTGATATATACACTTCAACATAAATATATTGTTGCCAATATTTGGCATACATTTACTGTAGAGTATATCCCATACAATACTTAAGCTCAGCTGACGTCAAACAAATAATTTTCCATTTAACACAAATTTACAAATCAATATACTGTTGTCTGTGTTGTTATTTTAAAGCAACAGTATGTGGAGCATAACACCTCTGAATGTCGCGTCTTTCTGTTCAAACATTTGGTTCGTCAATGAGTGATTTTTCTCGCACAATTTTTCCAGCTCTTAAACCAGTACAAATTGACAGAGTACAGTATACTGTACTGAGAAAATATTTACTGAAAGCTGACAAACAGAATCCACACTCAGCTTTATACAATATCATGCTCCAGATGTAAAATGGAAGTTTCAAGATTCCCTTCCTCTTCCTAACCCAAACTACAGTATATGCTATGTGTAAAACATACATTCTAGTAGAATAGACAGTATTATATCTAATATATATAGCATCAATGCCTTAAACCTTTCTGAGGGGCTATCCATCAGGTGATGGGCACAGTAGAAATTTCTCAACAAGATTCTGTTATCACACTTTTCACTATTTCATGCACTCTAAACTCCTTTCCCTCATCCTTTCTTTAATATATTATTCCACGCTTCTTTTCCCTGGGCAAATCTGGGCACATGATGTTGATGTGACAATGAAATGTTGAAAACATTCGACCACCACTCTTAACGTAAAAACTTGTTCTGTCAACCCTACCCCTATCCTAAATGCTTCATTGCCTTTTCTATCCTCATTCAATTATTTCTAATTATCTCAATTTGCATCCTTGCATACACTTTTTTCTTTGATACTAAGTAAAGTATTTCCCTATAATTCACACATTCTTCCCTACTACCCTTTCCCTTATAGGAACCATAATGCACCATGAATATGGAATGTACAAGTGTTGGAAAGTTATCATGCCTTCAAAATGTCAAGAAACAATTGTTGTACTGGTACATAATATAGGAACAAGTCATTAAAATGCTGACAAAGTTTAAAGTATTTGAAACTTCAGTACAGTATTATGATTTATGACTGTTGATGTAATTGTTATTTTATTCTTAAGATATTTCTATAATTTACTAGACTGGATTTTGCAGCTAATTGTATAGCAGAATGATAGATGGTGTTATGACACAATTGTATTCCTAAGAGACTTCCTTATACCAGAGTCTGTAGCATAGTGTACAGAGTAAATACTGTATGTATTACTTTTTGTGCATGGAATTTGACTACAATACATTTTACAATATTTTTCTACACTATCATGAGATAAATGATTTATTCATAGCATGTCCATCAATTAATATTTTAAAATATAATGTTTAATTATATTTTAATAAAGATTTTGAATGAATGGCTTGGAACAAAAAATAAAGTATTTCTATATTTCCCTTCAAAGGCATTTATTTTCAAGCATTTATATAGAAATAAATTAAGATAGTGGCATCATTATCTATAAATACTCAGAAGAAACTTTTAATGCAATATGGATAATATATACTGTATTACAATAAAGTACAGTATATCTGAACAGAGGAATGTATTGATAAAATATGATTGGAATACAAGGCACATCAGATTACAAACACGTGCATCTCTTGCATATAATATACACTGCTACACATGTATTTATTTATATAATGTACCTATATAACTGAAACTACCTTGTAGTTTCAGTTACTTTAAGAAACAAAACCTGTCCTGTAGTAGTAGTACAATATACCTATTTCAGTTACAATACCTAATAAGAGATTCATCTTAGACTGCTTCAACTCCATAACTCGTGGGTGAAGGTACTTTACAACTAATTCAAGGGGCATTACCACCCCTAACTCCACAACAAATACTTGTGAGTGTTTACAGCACGCACTCAAACTCTGCCCATTCACTTTCCGTCAATTTAATTTTCATCAGTTATTCCAATTATTCATTTGTCCTTCCCTTGTACTGCTGGATTATTTGGGTAGGTGTCCCAAAATTTTTCTTACTGCTTAATTCAAGAGTTGCATGTGAAAATAAGACTTCTGAAATGCAAAGTGCATTGTAATACTGTACTGCATTTTAAATGCTAAGCAGAGGAAAAAGTGGAACATGTGATTTTTTTGGTTAGAATTTTGCATGTGCCATCCTGCTTTAAAGGTTGCTGTTGTATAATTCACTCCACACATGAAGTGAAAGTGATCTTTCGGTCAGCCCTGGTCCCTTATTAGGACTTTATGTCGGTCCAGGAAAGACAAACTGTCACTTTTTATTTTATTTCGTATAGATGGGTTGGGTTATTTGTTTCAGATATGTTCTTGTGACTTATTTTGTCGATTGACATGACATGAACGTGTAAACCATACAAGTGAAACGTATTTTTCCCAAAATTACATACAAGTAGTTCACTAAACAGTGTTTAATCACTGAGCAAAATTTTTAATTATATTGGTACTGCATAACATAAGTCACTAGAATAACTCAAAGCATACAGTATTTAATCAATGAAAATAAATATATATCAATACAGTACAGTACATCAAAACTGAATGACATACTGTATATAGTACAGTATACTGTATGTGGCAAAATATAACCTGTTTAAAAAATCAAATTAAACATGAATTTGTAAACATGATATATAAAACTAATTTTATACAATTGCTCATGTCAGAGGTGCTCAATATTTTTATTGTCCGGAGAATTAAACTACATCAAATTGCAGTATGATATTGGAAATCCAAACGCACTATAAATGCACGATAAAATCATAAAATCTAGATCCATGAGAAAATACACAGGCTGTATGATGGGATCGAACCCCTGTCCTTAAACCTCTTCAATTTATTACAAGGTTAGAACACATTTATCAAATTGCAGCGATTCACTAGGCTTTTGCAGGCTCCAGTCATACAGTCAGCAACAAATATAGAGCACAAACACCATTCAAAGCTTTACCTTATTTTCAGCTTCTTTTACTCACTATTAGATATGCAGTCTAAGCTTGAGTCAGCTCATTAGTGTGGAAATGTTGGAAAATAATGATTCATTCTTGAGCAATGTGTTTCTTCGAAACTGACAATCCATAAAGCTGTAAAATATAAAAGTACTTCATCATTTGTTAATGCTGAATTTTAGGCATTTCATTGACTTGTATCATCCCTGATTCAAACTTGGGCATCAAAACTATGAGATCAGCATCCTACTAACCAGGCAAAGCTTTGTAGGTTAATTACCAGGATGGCCTGGCCTGTAAGACAACAATTTCATACTTTTGACGCCTTCATTTGAATCTTCAATGATCCACATGAATTACAGTTATTACCTATGCTGTTGGGGATTGTATCTTATTTCAGGCATGTACAGTATGTGTTCATTTATGCTTTGTATATAAGGAGTGAATGTTGTCAAAGGCTATGACTATGAAGAGGGATGCCAAGAGACTATGCGTAATGGAGAAGCACCGAGAATGAATGTATTGAGATCAATAAACTTTGAGAGCCAAATAAAGGATAAAAAAGTAATCAAACAATGCACAAGTCTACATTTACTATTTCAATCAGATTAATATGAAGATGTATGCATCTTCTTTAATTGTTTAAATTTCTTTTCTTATAAAATATACATTTATTTGTGTATGAGACTCTTTGCACACGTATCAACCTAACTAGTTGGGAAGAGATAGGTAGATAAAGGTAGATGGATAGACCATTTACTAACCATTTAAGGTTATTGTTTAATGCTCACCAGTTATTGGTTTGCGTCCACACTACTACACACTATAAAAGCTTTCATAAACATGCATAGATCAACATATGGCAATATAATACAGTCATTCTTGTGCAACAGATAAAACAAGCTGAGCTCCGGTAGCAGTGTTAGTGGAGGCCAATATAATGCGTGTTGCAGATGTCAAAGCCAAAAGTCTGAATGCTGCAACCTCTGCATATGTTATCCCACCCAGCACCACCACTAATGCCACACGAGGACCGGTTGCAGAACCTGCAGGCGGTGTAATGATTGCCGTTGTTCCGGGTAGAACCTTTAAGTTATCCGAGAGAGACTGGGTACCTCGTCCAGTGAGGGCATCACCAACCACTTTGGGGATAGCTGGTGTATATGCACCATTAAAAACATAACTCATATGAGTAGGATTGTGGAGATCAATTGGCTCATCAGCATCAGGAATGAGACGAAAACGTTTTGCAGCTGTACGCCAACCAGATCCCTTTTTTGGTAACAAAGAGGTTACTTGTGCCAAACGATCTTGTAGGGGAGCATTACTCACACCACTTCCAGTACTAACATTTGATGTGTCGGCAACTGCAAGCAATCCAAGCTGGCGAAGATAATGGAGAGTGACCAGGTGTTTATGGCCATGAGCGGTCAAAACTTGCGATGTGATTTTTTCATACTCTTGGCGGGAGATGCCATCTTGCGTGAGTGAGTAGAGGCATAGAAGACGGAGGTTGGCAGCCAGAGGTAACATGCGGGCTAAACAGTCGTTTAAAAATTTCATTGCCTTGCCCGAATTCCCTGCTCTGGTCACGAGTCCGTGCTCTGTTGCAAGCTGGGTTTCAAAATCTCGTCTCATAGATTTTGTGATTGTCTCGCATGCTTTTAAATGCAGGCCAAGTGTTGCCTGTAGAGCCTGTAGTGTGCGCAGTTCATTTGCCACAAAGTCTCTAATTTGCCCAGTAGTCATGTTCTGAGCCTGATCTTTCTTTGCTTTTACCTCACGAGCTCTAGTAATCAAGTAGCTCGACACGCCAGCAAAATGTCTATTGCGAATGTTGTCATAAATAGTGTCCTTGCTATTGAGTGGCACCTTTCGAGGACTATCTTGACCCACAACGTCAGATGGGAACTCCACCACCCCAGCATGAATGCCAAAGTGCTCATCTAATACACCTTCATATGTCAGTTGAGTGAGAAGTGGGGTTACATAGTCAGCATCACGATCAAAAATAAAAAGATGGCCGATCTCTGGAGTCTGAAAAAATACATAGACATTTAATATAAAACCAATAAAAATAGAAGACACAACATATATACAGTACAGTATAAAATGTGCTTTAAAAAATAAGAAACCATTGTAAAAAAAAAAAAAAAAAAATTTGCACTCACACAACATGAAGATAGAAAGAGAAGAACCCGAATAGGGAACCTTGAGGTATGTCTCCTTTAACCAACATTTATCTTCCAGCATTCATAGGTGGTCAGTACATGCATAATTTTTTTTTACCAAGCATTAAATAGCTGGCACTCTCCACGCACATCAGGTGTTAAAACCATAACAGTAATGCAGGGATGGAGGGGGAGTGGGGGGAGATAGGACATGTTCAAGTTAGCAGGGTAGTTGTAAATTACTCAAAATAAATCTACTCAAATTAAGAAATGATGAGAATTACCGTATGTTAACAAGCACTGCATACATGAAAAGAATGCATCAACTTACACTAAGTTCCTTACCTCTGGGAATTCTTTATATAATTAAAATGTCCAGAAACAATATATCTGTTAAAACTTTAAATTAATCCAATTTCTTAAAAGGTGAAATAAGAGACAAAAACCCAGCGTTGAATATGATGAAATGCCATTTTCTGGGTGAGCCCTGGAGGCTCCCTGAAGCTATCTGAACTGATATGTGTTATATTAGTTTGGGTTCATCATTCACAGGAGTTCTTATGCCTACTGGGAACCATGAACCAGAACCTGGTCCCCTAAGAGAGGTGCAGGTAGAACTTTACATTTAAAGAATATCATAATACTGTACTTTAAATGTTAAATGGAAAGTACCCAGAAAGGTAGGCAAATCAAAACAGACGACTGTCTGGTTACTCTGTGCAATCTACATTCCAAAAGATCAAAATAACTCCCTAGAAAGAAACCAAACAAGCAACCCTTCATGTGACTAACACTTCCGCTCGTTGGCGTTACTCCCTGTAGGAAGGGAGGGGGCAGCCGGCAGCCCACCACTCCAGTTCTTGAACAGATGTGCTGGCAGTCAGTTCGGTCACCTCTGGCCTCAAGTTTCTGTTCTGGACTTTGCCCTGTGTGGCTGTACCAGCAGTGTGTGTGTGGGTGTTGGCCAGGTGTCTTCTTGTACACAGAGTAGCATGCTCCTAGGCTGAGCTTCCCTAGGTACTCCGTTAGTACCATCCTTGCATTTCAGGGTCATCTTCCCTGGGGTATTCGGGAATCACTCCCCGCAAAAGGACTTCCTCGCTTGAGGTTGTCTTTGCCTTTGGGTACGTCGGGGGTCTTGGGCTTTCCGTATTTCCACGGGTGGGAGAGGAGTGTTATTAGTTGGGTGTTGGCGCAGTCTGCTTTACTACAATGCGGCAGTTGATGCTTCTCTCTGGCTGCCAGTTTGCTTCCCCCCCCCTCCAAAAAAAAAAAAAATGTTGGTCACTGGTGAAAGAAACAGATATTAACATTATGTAATGTATTTATATGATATATAACAAAATAGAGCATAATAAGATACTTACTCATTATTATTTGTGTTATTATGTATTACTCAGCAATGCTATAAAGGCACCAGCTGCATACCCACTTTGTGGACCCTTCTTATTACTATTCTTCTTTGTGCATCAGACATGTGCTTGCAACTTTTTTTTTCTTTTTCTTTTTATATACAAGACATTCTTGTACAGCCACTAGTACGCGTAGCATTTTGGGCAAATCCTTAATCCTATGTTCCCTGGAATACGACCCCCCACGAAGAATCATTTTTACAACCAAGTATCCATTTTACTATCGAGTTAAACAGAGGCTACAGTTAAGGATTTGCGTCCAGTAAATCCTCCCCGGCCAAGATACGAACCCAGGACAAAGCGCTCGCGGAACGCCAGGCAAGCGTCTTACCACTACGCCATGGAGACTGCAATACGTGCGATCTCTCTATTATTGCAATATCCCTCAGTTCCAGTTAATAGGAGCTGTTCTCCTCATCAACAAAACATTCTTCTTTTTAAAAAAATTGTCTAAAATCGATTTCTGAAAATATTGGGATGAAACTTTCATGACACTGAAGCCAATAATTTGGAGATTTGTTTAACAATTTTCACTATATTTCATATCTGGACAAATATTTCTGAGCACAGGCCCCTTAAACCATAATAGAGGACAAAGACTAGGTAAATAGCTAAAGATTAACATACAAGCTAAGATTGATATACAAAACAGGATAAATTTAAATTTTTTGAAGGAAAGAGTATTACCTATGAGGCACATCAGGAAAATTTAATACATATACAAAAAATCAATAGAAGGGGAAATATCTGCAGTTTAAATTCTCCCCCTAACTTCCATGGGGATAAACTCAGTTTTCTTCACCTTCTTTGTAATAATCTTCAAGGACAAAAACTGAGTAAAAGAAATCGGTTCCAGAAAGCAGCGTTGAATGTAATGAAACGCCATTTTCCGGGTGAGCCCCAGAGGCTCCCCACAGAAAACATACAAGAACTCTGCATGAAGGTGAATATATATACACATACACATGACCCACATGCCCACCCACCTGATGGACTTTTTTGGGTGAATCTTGTTCATTGAGGATTTCGAGGGTATTCATGACTGCCTTAGCAGCTCTGCCATGGGCGAGCACATTAGGGATGCGCCCATAAAGCCCCTGTAAGGTATTGATAGCCCGGGCCACACTCACACACCCAGAAAAATCCCCCTCCAGGAAAGCATTCCTGAAAATATAGTACAAACCACTATTTACAATCATTTCTAATTTCTTATTCACTGATATAAGATATATTACACTACAGTATAGACTATAGACAAACACCTAAATGAGAATACTGTGGACATTTTCATAGACGTTTAGCCTGAGGGACCTCAAGGTAAACGCCGTAACGAGAGGGGGGGACCTGCTGCCTGGGTAACAGCTTCTCCCCCGAATCAACCTACCCTGGCTTTGCGCCCTGGTGAGGCCACTCCAGACCAACAACCAAAGCGCAACTCCATAGTCTCCCGAGAGTGATGGATGCCTACTACTACTACTACCCTGTAATGGATTTAGTGTCCCTGAAGTGCATGAGGTGATTTTTGGTTCTTGTCTAATTACAGGATGAGAGCCAAGCTTGTGATGTTTCAGCCCATCCTCCGAATATGGGGAGGTAAATGTAACGGCACAAGTGTAATTATGTAGTACTGTATTCCTAGCAGTCAGGAATTGTACTTATTACACTTAGTATTAAACTGTACTGTCAAATAATCGCCAGAATCGCACCAAAGTATTGTGAATATTTGAGTTTACCTGAAAAGCTGAATAGAAAACTACGACCTAACTTAACCTTCTTAGTGAATGAGGACAAGCATTTTATTGCTTCTTAATTACAATTAGTACTTAATCTATAGCTATATTGATATTACAGTTTTATAAAACTAATAAAACAAAACTAAAATCTTTCAATAAATTATAAACTCATGATATTTGAAAATTTTGTATAAAATCTCTATTGTTTAATAAAACTGAAAAATAAATTCTTTATACAGTATTTAAAACGTGTGTGTATAGAATTGAACATGAAAACTTCATCCTAAAATTCTGAGTGTTTTAACAGAAACCGAGAATATATGGGGAGGTAAATGTAATGGCACAAGTAAGTGTAATTATGTACTATTCCTAGCAGTCATGAATTGTACTTATTACACTTGGTATTAAATCGTACTGTTAATTCGGAGGATGCGTTGGATGTCTTGTCATATTTATGAACTTTGTCATACAGAACTCTGAAGCTCCCAAATATGTTGGCACACACTACCTCTCATTTAATTTCCTCTCAACCTCTCTGTCTGCTACTTTCTTTGCAAAGAAGATTTTTCTACAAGTTTTTCAAGACCTTTATTTCACAATTTCAACCCGTCTTATTCATGACATTGTAGTTTTTAAAAAATCCCAACATGAAAATTTTGTCCATTCCTACTATAATATTGCACATGGTGATCTCACCACCTCTTTTCCTTCTGTATCAGTATTGGCATATTTAGCACCTTAAACTTTCCTTCATAGCGCATAGAAAATATTTGTCTAGAAAAACATAAGAAATATTGAGAAGATTCGTGTTAGAATCATTAATCTTACCCTTTCGGTTATATTCAATAGCATATACGTATACTGTACAGTATACATGTTTTCACAGGAAATGTTTTTCTCTATAATGCTGTCAACAAAGAGAACTGTAAGACAATACACTGAAAATATTCTGCAAATTTAGTCAACAGAAGTACTGTACAGTACCATGTAAATATGAAAATGCATGCAGGACATCATTACCAGAACTGACCTGAAGAAGTTTGTCATTTCCAAGGAGAGGAGATCATTATCAAGAGGGATGAAGTCGGGGGTAAACTCGTGAAGCATGACAACGCCATACAGACCCTCCTCTTCCAACAGTGCCGTCACCCACGACACAAGGCGAGGCACTACCACCAAGTGAATGCTGGGAGAGTACAGAGATAAACTCAAGGCAAGAACTAATAGTCATATTTATTCCCATACACCTTCACTTCAATCAAATTGGTTACTGTGTTCACACATACAACCTCTCCTCTAGTAAATTGAGTGCTGCATTCCCTGGCTACCATGTCCTCCCTATTAGACGGAATAATGTATTCTCTTGGTCTCCCTTCTCTAACAAATTGGTTGCTATGTTTCCATTAACACACTTCTTCAATTTAGAAAAAAAATGCATTCAAAACAAAGAACTCATTAGTTTTACCATTTCATAAAAACTTTAAATGACATTCTCAATTACTCAAGTTTTTAATATCAATGTGGCACTGAGAAATTGTGACAATATTTGATAACAAATTCTCCTGGCAACTGTAAAGTGCCTTCACAAAATACCTTGTAAATTGTTGTAATAATAGCTATTTGGACATATCATTATGACTCTAAAGTTATTGTGCAGTACTGACAATGGGAACTGACCAATAAACCACTGTTTATTCCAGTGCTGGATGAACACACTTCATTGATACCTGCAGTCATGCTCTAAACTTATGCTTTAATATACCTGCAGTCATGCTTTAATATACTTACTAAGCTTTCTCATCTCATTTTTCTCTTGCAATGTATTTGTTATCATTTATCAATTCTGATAGAAATTACCTACTTAAAATTATCTGTTAGATTAAGGACCTGCCCGAAACGCTGCGCGTACTAGTGGCTTTACAAGATTGTAAATACTGTACTATTCAATATATTCTCACAAACCCAATGTACCTTCTTGTATATATACAGGTATAAATAAATAAATAAATACCCTGTGACACTGGTGTCGTGCGTTCCCCTCCTTTACTTGCAGATACATACTGTACCTTTGTAGCACATAGGACAGAATACCAATGGAAGAAGCAGAATGACTTACTTAATAATTTATTTAGTGAAAACTAATATAATAAATTTGTGGTGTAGTCTCACCATAATAAAATGTTATCCCACCTTAAGGTCTTGAAACATATTACAGGTGTTATAGCAGATTTATTTTGACTTTGTATTGGATTTTTGGTGAATAAGGCTAATTTCAATGAAGTTAGGGAAGAGCCCTAGAGCTTCACTGGGTAATATTTTACCCTTATGAAGTTAACTTTACTTTCTGTAGATTTGCTCTACACATGCCTCTTCCAAGATACACATACTGCACAGACTGAGAGACCATTTAATGATGGTAAATCATAATAAAAATGATTCCAAAAATACACACACAACACCAAAATTGAATCTGTTTTCTCTCCTCTACTAATGTGCTAGCTTACCAAAAATTAACAAAACACAGTTTATACCTTAAGCAAAAATCACTTCAACCTACTGTATATCAGGATGGTTGAGTTTATCAGAGTGCACATGGTCTGCTACATATTTAAGAGTGATAAGAGACGGCTGCACTACGTATACACGCTGAGCACTCTGCACAGGCGGTGGCAAGCGATCCAATCTGTACATTTTCTCTACGCCATGACTCCTAAAAAGAAAAAAGTGTGCTGAAAAAACCTATATTGGCTGTGAGCCAGTGTAAAGATATTGTATAAATTATACCTGTAAGAAACTATCATCCACAGTATAAGGGAGGAATTATATACAAGGAAGATCATTTAGGGGTGTACGAGGGGAACATCAAATGCAATTAGAGGCCACCGTGGGATGTATACGGTGAGGAAGTAAAGTTGAGGTAGACTAAGAGCTCTTTCTACCTCATATAATTTTAAAGTTCAACTATGCAGTTCTGCTTAAAACACAATCTCCAGATAGTGTTGGGTGTAAAAGATTCTAACCTACAACCTGTCAAAAAACCAGCGTTGAATGTAATGAAACGCCATTTTCTGGGTGAGACCCGGAGGCTCCCCGGAGCTTTACCGGCTGATATGCTAATGTCAGACTTTGGCATCAGTCATGTGTATGGAGTTCTAGGGCCTACCGGGGACCACGAGCCAGAACCTGGCCCCCTCAGAGAGGCAAGGGGAGCAATGGCCTATAGAAACCCCCGTGTGGTTGGAAGCATTCTATGTCTGCCATCGACCGGGTCAAGCATCCAGAAAGGTAAGCATTCCAAAACAAACCCCTATTCTGGTAGAAATTGCTACCTAAGCCGAACTAGTGGATAGAACTCTTCAACAGAAAACAAGGAAACTAGTATGACGTCATACGTCACCGCGCCGCTGTCTGCGCAGCTCCCCCCTCCCCAGGAGGGGGAAGGGGGAGCCCCAGACCTCCCACGCCGGCTATCCACCCACCAGTTCTGAGGCTGGATGTCAAAACACGCGAAAAACGCCGACCGGAGGGAGGGAGGGTTGCCGGGGAGCCTCCGGGTCTCACCCAGAAAATGGCGTTTCATTACATTCAACGCTGGTTTTCTGGGGGGAGCCCCGTCGGCTCCCCGGAGCTAACTACCCACAGAGGAAGGTCAAAGGGACAAAACCGGGAGGCGGACACCACGCACCCCCCAAAGAGGCGAGACAACTGGCAGCAAATGCCAACCCAAGGCGCCACAGCCCCGAAAATCCTGGGAACAACACGAGAACCACGAGCAGCAAGGCCCCTGCACGAACACCAAAAATCCATGCCCGAAAGACTGCAAGGCCACGTCGCCCAGACGGCAGCGAGAGCAGCGAAGCCACGAACGCCACAGGCATGAGGGAAGAACACAGGCAGCTTAGCCGCAAGAACACGGCTGACCACCTGGGACACCATCACCCGCGAACCGGGAAGAACAGAACCGGATCAACGCAAAACGCGCTCCGGACCCAAACGCCGTGGCACGCAAACAACAGCGGAGGGCCGCCACTGAACACACAAACGACACCCCCGGCCCGACCAACGAAGCACCAACAAACCCTGGACCCCTCCAGAATGCAGCAGCCCCACCCCGCGCCAGAAAAGATGGAGACTGCTGCCATCAAACAACCAAAACGCTAAAACCGAAGGAGCAAGAAAACTCAGCGAACCGACCCCCAGAGGCAAAGGCCCAAAGGAAAGAGCCGACGAAAAAACACACCGGAACCGAAGGGGCACTACCAACCGAGGAGAAGACAGAGCACGCTGACCAGAGACCAGGATGGTGCAAGCGGCGCACGAACAGGCCGGAGGTGAAACGACGCACAAGACAGCTGACTAACGGTGCAGAAGCAACACCAAGACCGAAAGCAAGCTGAAGCGGCTCCGCCTGCGCCGCACGAAAAGAGGTGACAGTATGTGGCAAGACGACGGCCCCCAACCCCCACTAGAAAACCAAAAACCCCGCCCCGAACCTACAGACCGTAAGGAACCGGATGCAGGCAGGGTGAACCAGGGGAAAAGACAAGGGGGCGTGGATGGAACCGAAGCAGCCAACACCCCCAAGTCCCAAAACGAACTACAACGGGGCAGCCCCGGGGCTCCCGGGGAGGAAACTACGAGAACGTTGCCACCACCAAGGCTCAAGTGCAACGCCCCTGCTGCCCGCACCCGCTGTGTTAGCACAACTGGGTAACCGAGCCACAACGAGCAACCAAACTCGCAGGACTCCAGGTCGAAGGTGTCACCGACCCCACAGGCAGCAGACGGAGGCAAAACAGAGAGTCACCCAGAGACAAAACGTGAGAGCAACCCTCAAACTCGCTGGAAGCGAGGGGGGGGCTCTGGGGTCACATCCATCGGACCCGCGCGCCCCCAGGGGTTTCCCAGGGTCCCGAGCGTTTACTTTAAGAGGACTCGCGCTCAGGTAGTCCCAGGCAGGGTACTGCTAACCGGCACCCAAAGCTACCAAACAACTTTCTAAGAGCTGAACCCCCGGGACGTGTACACTCACGGGGACCTAGCAGGGGGCACCACCAGAAAATACTCAGAACACAAGGGACACAAGGGGCAAGAACGAAGGCAGACCCCCCCACCAGGTAGATAAACAAAAAGAAAAAGAAAACCCCGCAAGAGGACAGCGTACCCAAGCGGAACAGAGCCGGCCGCTATGATTGGTAAAGACAAGCTGCACAGTACCCCGCGCCCCACCAGTGCAAACACTGCCCCTTACTCTAAGGCGAACAAGGGAGACAGAACCCCCGAGCACACAAAGAGCGGCCGAAAACCAAGCAGTAAACGGCCAAGCAGGGGCAGGACCCAAGGAACTTGTGGAAGGTGGCCCCAAGCCCCAAGGGCAGTACTTACAGGGCACCTAGGGAAGGGAACCCTAGGCGCATGCAGCCCGAGTACTGAAGAATCACTCCCGGCTCACGCACCACCTAGAAAACAGACACCACACTCTAGGTACAGTGCTGAAACAACCACTGGAGCCGGAGCACATAACCATTGCCTATAGCATCAGCCGAAGAACTGGTGGGTGGATAGCCGGCGTGGGAGGTCTGGGGCTCCCCCTTCCCCCTCCTGGGGAGGGGGGAGCTGCGCAGACAGCGGCGCGGTGACGTATGACGTCATACTAGTTTCCTTGTTTTCTGTTGAAGAGTTCTATCCACTAGTTCGGCTTAGGTAGCAATTTTCACCAGAATAGGGGTTTGTTTTGGAATGCTTACCTTTCTGGATGCTTGACCCGGTCGATGGCAGACATAGAATGCTTCCAACAACACGGGGGTTTCTATAGGCCATTGCTCCCCTTGCCTCTCTGAGGGGGCCAGGTTCTGGCTCGTGGTCCCCGGTAGGCCCTAGAACTCCATACACATGACTGATGCCAAAGTCTGACATTAGCATATCAGCCGGTAAAGCTCCGGGGAGCCGACGGGGCTCCCCCCAGAAAATGAGTGTTTATTACTACAGTTTCTAATTAAACTATTATACAGATGCTACATTTGTAAAAACATGGTGAAATTTTGGTTAACAAACATTTTTTTGCAAATTACTTTACTAAATTAACCTATCTGTACAGTCTAATTTAAGTACAGTATTTGTATAAATATATTTACCTAATTCATTTATTTGTTATACTGTGTACTATTATGCATAATTAGCAGCTTTATATAATATACAACTTCTGTACCTACTATTTAACCACTAATATGTTCCTATATACAGTACACTCCATAATAAATAATTATTATTATTACAGTATTATTATTATTATTATTACTGTATTACTATAAATAAGCAAGCTTCCCACTGCAGACTAGAAATCCATTTGAACCCACCTTAGAAGTGTTGCTCCTGAGATACGGTCAAGCATCTTCATGAGGTCACCATCAATGATCAGATCTTTGGCACCAGGTGCATCCTCAAGGACTCGCACAAGACGATCCCGGCTCAAACGACGCAGAATTTCTACATCTAGCCCTAAACTCTGAGGCTGAGACATTTTCTTACTTTGGGGGTTTTAATGTTACAAAAAAGTTTAAATAATGATGGTCTTTTTTTTTTGTCTCTTCCTTGACCTTGGCTCCAAGTTTTACGTGCTTCTACATCTACATTTTGAAACTACAGGCTGTACTTTTATTTCTTTGTTAATGTTGAGATCATTTCTATACCTCAGGGAAGAAATGTTATATGAGTTATTGCATCATATTGAATACTATTGTACTGTACCATAATTATGATGAAAATCCTCTAAGCCAGTAAAACTATTATACAGTATATAGTATAGTGTACTGTACAGTACAACCTCTAAATAGTAGAAATCTCTGAACTTACTAATGAAATAGTTCTCCCAAATCCTGAAGAGAACTCAGATTTTTCCCAAAATAGCACTAAACAATGTTGTAGCAATATCTAGTGCTCACACTCTCCATATTTTGACTAGATGCTTATAATTTTAATAGTACTGTACTGTGCCTGCACAGTAGATATTAACAAAATTAATATTTAATAATTGTACTGTACCGTACTTGTAATATACAGTACTATAATATATAATGTACTGTAAAATAGTTTGTACATGTGACTTTTTTCCTTTAGGTAGCCCAGTACTACTGACACTGGATGTGTCCCAACCATGCGATCTTTAGCTTTGTTCTCTCTCATTTTTAGAAAAGATGTCTGTCAGTGAGAGTAATCTGGCTAAACCTGGTAAGAGAAAGAAGAGGTATTACATCATACAAAAAAAAAAAGACTAAATTGAAACAAATGTAATAATTACTGGGGAGCAAGAATGCTGGCAGCTAAGTATGACATTGGTAATTGCTCTGTATCCAATATAATCTCGTCTCCAACATTTGCCCAAAATGCTGTGTGCATTAATGGCTTTAGGCATAGTATGTACTAGCGCTATCTAGAAATCTAACATTATGTTTGTAACTCATTTTGAATGTACTGTATGTACTTTTACCTGAAAAAACAGTATCTTATCATTATCTTATCTTATAATCATTCCTGAAGCACATTACCCTGCATCTTTGGCTCCCAGATTGAATCCACAGGTGGGACAGAGACGGTTGGGCATACATCCTTTCACCCGATGCCTGTATTCACCTAGCAGTAAATAGGTACCAGGGAGTTGAGTAACTGTTGTGGGACGAATCGTTTGGGGGAATGGTCTTGGGCAGCTGGAATTAAAGAATGAATTGGGCAGCTGGCCTAAAGGGACCTTGACAAGCCAAACAGGTTTCCTGTCTCTTGACTATGTGAACCTATACGGTGTCAAATTATCTGAGGAGCTAAAATTTCTTTGAGCTTAATCAATCAGTATACAAGTAATATAATGTTAGCTAGAACAGGGATGATAATCAGTAAAATTTGAAAAAATATAAAAACCATCATTTAACATTATATCCCATTATATTACAAAATTATTGTGCTTAAATTGTGTTTAAATATGCACAAAGTTACATTCTATTATTTGTTATTAGATAAATCCAAAAGATTGTGATAAATAGGTAAAAAGACCAAAAAGACAAAAATGTGACCTTTATTATAACGGTGAAAAAGGAGCCTATGTAACCCAAGCGTATACAAGACCTAAGGATCGTGAATACTTCAGGTACAAGTTGATGGGGCACGGTAGTTTAGCACTAATAAGATTTTATATAGCTAGAATTCTCAGGTTGAGGGCAATGGTTCACTTGATTTTCCCAAAACTGCAAAAATAATTATATTACATATATTAATAAATATAAATATACACATTATATTATACTGTATTGATACAGGGGTACAGCTTTTTCTTTTTATAAGGATATGTGGATTTAACACACGGATATGGTCTCTCCTGCAATGAATGGAACGCAACAATTTGCACCATGAAGAAGAGACCGGCATAATATATATATATCCGTAGTTCAAAATGAATATATTTCACATTTAATGGAATAAAGTGTCGTCAGGCTACTGAATTTTCATATCTGGTGCCAAGACCACATCACAGGTGGGCGGCATAGCAACCAAGAGTACTGGCTACTAAGAGTACGAAAGTAAAAGAGTACAGTACTCGCTTACTTTTACAAGTAAGGAGACACTATACCTTAATCCCCTTAGCCTTGAAGGGCCCGCAACAAGATGAAAATATATCCGGTCACCAGGAAAAGACAAATTTTAATACTAACAGCCGGAGTCATCATGCTTGGCCTCGAGTGTTGACATCGCTCAGCTGATAACCGCGACTCATACAATAATTGTTGTTATATCCTTACAAGTATTTTAAGATTTTGAAATATACAATTATTGGATTCTAGTATATCATTAACATTTCTCTTGTGCTTTGCTCAATTATATACTTGTTTCTCATATTAATATATCATATTCTAAACTGAATCGCATAAAGCACTTCTTTTAGGTATATTATAATTAATTAGTATTACATTGTAACTCAGTAAAATCAAGTATAAGAAATATAAATTATATAAAACTAAATTATAATTTAGTCTTTTATTGGTTTTACTTGAAATAATTATGATAACAGGAATAATGTGACACAATCAAACCCTAAAAGCACCCAGGCAAGGGCCAGGCAGAAGTGGTGACAGGAGAAGACAAGTGCGTCTCTACTCGCACACTAAAAACAGGCATGAAAATGATCATTCTCTCTTTTTTGATGTACTTCTAGTAGCGTGACAAGTGGGTTCGTTAATGCTGGCTTTGATATATTGGCTTTAAGCATCGTTGGAAGGGGGGTAGCTGGAGGTGGTTGTATGACGGGCGATACTAGCCCTCCCCCGTGTTACTGTGCCAGTGTGTGTGTGGCTGATTTTTCATTATTCACAAGAATTGTCGCGCTATCCCCTGTCCTCACAGCCGGGGGTGGCCGCCGGTGATGCCCCCACGTGGCTGGCCCTAGCTGATGTTTTTGTCCTTGTGAGCTAGAGCAGAAAAAGTGGGTCACCTTGAAAGTTAGAGCTGCACGTCTGACCGTTCCAAACTCAACTTTTTCAACTTAAGTCTATGGTCCAGTGAGTGGAAAATTGTGGTTAGCTGGAGAGAGTGAGATACGGAGAGGGACGAATTGTCGCCATAGACAATATCGGCAGTATAGGGTACTTGCTTGTGTGTGTGTGTGTGTATTTGTTGGCCTGAATTTACCTCAATCAACGGTGGCCTCAACGTGGCCAGGAAGATAGTAGGTTATTAAGAGTAATTTTGTCGAAATTAGGCTCTGTGCTTCAGTATGGGCAAGTTGTACATAAGACGGTTCGACGAAGCTCGTTTTTTGATTGCCAGAACTGTATATCCAGTACAAGTATATCGTTATATTAGAATATACTATTTTCACTCGGGGTTTGGTTGATGTACGATGGGTTTGGTTAGATTTGGTTCGGTAAGTTTGGGAATCGTTAGGTTTAAAAACCTGTAGGCAAATCTTGTAATTACCTAAGTGTAGCTATGAGATAAGAGCTAGGCTCATGGTGTCCCGTCTTCCCAGTACTCTTGTCATATAACACTTTGAAACTACTGACGGTTTTGGCCTCCACCTCACTTAATTTGTTCGAAGCATCTACCACTCTACAAAATTGAACTTTCTAATGTTATTTTGGCAGCTTTGTTTCCTTAGTTTGAATATATGACCTCTTGTTCTTGAAGTTGCAGTTTTCAAGAATTCTCCTTTGTCAATTTTGTCGATTCCTGTTACTGTCTTATATGTAGTGATCATATCACCTCTCTTTTCTTCTACATGTATCTTCTAGTCTTGGTATATTTAACACCTTTACCCTCTCCTCGTAGCTCATGATTTTCAGTTCTGGAAGCCATTTAGTTGCACGTCTTTGCATCTCTTGTGGTTATCACAGGTTGATCCCCAAGGTAATGCACTCATCATCATCATCATCATTATTTTAATTATTATCACCAGGTTTTAATATAAATGATGTAAATGAAGTAAAAATACATCTATGTGGATGTAATGGAGTTAACCCAGTCCTAGGAACAAATTCTACTTTGATTATTAATGGCTTACTATCGCTGAGGTTATCTTGTGTCACAAGCTCTGCAATTATCACTTCACAACATGATGTTTCCTGCTGGTGTTTGAACCTGTTTCCAGATAGTTGACCTTACCAGCCAGAATAGCTGCGAGGGAGTAGGCTGCAGGACACTTCCTTTGAGCTGTGCTTGGAACAGATTTATGGGCAATATATGTGTACATATTACTTTGTAGGCCTATACTCTGTACAATACTTAAACACTGTTTTTTGTAAATTGTGTATATAAAGTGAGCTATTCCACACATAATCAAATCAAATTAAACACTTTAATCATAAACGGTTGTACATTTACAACTGGGAAAGTTCACATGAATATTACAGTATATTAATTGCATGTCATAACAACACCATAGCACATAGACATTTCATTATTAGAATCAGAAAGTTTATTTGTAAAAACTTGTATAATTCATTACAATACTGGCTGGACTAAACAGGTGTAAAGCAGTCTAAATCAAACGTACATTTTAGGCATAAAATGAGTGACATTTAGCTTACAATTTGAAAGGTGATATATAATAAAGACAAAGTAAGGCTTACCTCACTTTGTAAGGTATGGTAATGTATATTGGCACATTTATATCACAAGAGTAGGATGACGAGACAAAAGTAAAATAGATATAAATAATCATTCCATGACATTGTGTATGTGGTATTTGCACACCTTTGGTATTCTATATCAACATATTCTGGGGCTATCCCGGCTCAGAGTCATTCATTTTCATTTCTTTATTATGCACCCCATACCCATCCCATGGGCCGAATCATTACTCACCTAGTTGTGCTTGCGGGGGTTCAGCTTTGGCTCTTTGGGTCCACCTCTCGACTGTCAAATCAACTGGTGTACAGATTCTGGAGCGTACTGAGCCGAATCACTCCTGACACACAGCTGATATAACATCGACCTGACTTCAGTTAGATTAAAAATCCCTGTCAGTAATCTATGACAGTAGTTTCTTCATAATTCCAAATATCCAACTGGGGGTCTCCCTGCTATTCCTTGTCACTACTGTACTGTAATATCTTTCTGGTCCATAAATGGTCTTAAAAATTTGCATGGGTCAGTGGTTCTAAGAACAGGTGTTTGTAAGTGGACAGTGATGCACCTGTCACATGGTGCGAATTTTGTTTAATAATGCCCAGGAAGGTAACCAAGATTTTCAGGATTTTTTTTTTTTTTATGTGACAGATGATTGCCAGAGGTCTCTGGTGTCAAATAAGGTTCACATAAAACCTTTATGAATTTTGATTATTATGAAGCATATCAAATCTCCCACAGGCAGTCTGCCCACTGTCGATCTATTGCTTGAGGGTTACAGGAACAGTTTAAGGGAGTAAAGCTTTGCTTCCTGTCTTCTTGAAGTTACCTTGCTTGGAATATGATGATAAACAATGTTTATGCTAGCTAATGAGTTTACTTTTCTTTTTACAGATTAGGACACTGAATAAAGAAGACACAGAGGACTATTATAAAGTCTTGTATATTTTACACTCAAGAACAGAAGCAGCTAATTCCTGTCACCAACAGAGCAATCATGTCTAGTGTTAGATGGGGAGCTAGGTCATTACGACGACTTTTGTCCGTCAAGAATGCAAATATTGTAAATAGGAATGGTAAGCTTTCACAAAATGAATTGGTTAATGGTTGCAAATTGATATATGAAATGTGTTGATGGAAATGGAAAAAAAAGAGACTTGTTAAATTTTTGGCCAGTGGTCAGCCTTTGTGGGTAATTGCCTGGTCTGTGAGACTGTGTACTGGCTTTTTTAATGTTTCAATGCTTGTTATTTCATCCAGGTGTGTTGTGTGTACGTATGCTAGAGCATAGGACCGAGAGATGTTCTTTAGTGTTTGTACGACCCATATCCTCTACTACACTGTGCTACCAGTCCTCTACAGGCCCTCCAACAGACGGTAGTGGTGGCGATGATGGCAATGACAAGGACACACAGAAGAAGAATGATAAGAATCAGCTATGTTGCCCCAAATGTGGTGACCCTTGCACTCATGTGGAAACGTTTGTTTGTGAGTATAGTAGTTTAACACTCGTTATGGTTCATATAATGTATTGTGTCGGGGGGACAGAAAGCCAGAGTTTATTCATACATGTTAGGCTTATACCGAGGTCCCTCCCCACCTCCCCAAGGTCGAATTACTAACCCCACCCAGGATACAATCCTACAACAAGCTGACTAACTCCTGGGTACCTACTTACTGCTAGGTGAACAGGTGCATTAGGTGATAGGAAATGACCCCAACTATTTCTGTCCCAGCTGGGATTTGAACTCGGAATTCTCGATTGTGAGTTGAGAACGAACCCGACTGTACTACCGGGACCCCACAACTTATGCAACTTTGTTGCATGTTGAGTAGTGTTGGGGTTATGTCTACTTCCTGGTCTCTTTCTCTCATTGTTTCTTGTGGTATAATTAAATACAGATCTCCTAATCTACGTTACACATTTTCATTACTTTACACTTATTTTTATTGAATTCTAGGAGCCAGTTATCTGCCCACATCTTGGGTTTGTCAAGGTCTTCTTGCAGCACCCTACAATCCTCTTCAGTTGCAGGCAATGTCACAATAACGTGGCTAAAGTATGATGACCAGACCACACACTAGAAGGTGAAGAGACGACGACGTTTCGGTCCGTCCTGGACCATTCTCAAGTTGACACACACAAGAGTGTGTGGTCTGATCATCTCCTCTTCAGTTCTTACTCTCATTAACTTGGCATCATCTGCAAACATCACTCCCTCTGCAAGGTCATTTGTATACATTAAAAAAAGAAGCAATGGTCCTAGGACCGAATTCTATGGAGCACTACTTTCCACTTCTCACCAGTCTAACATATCCTTTCTCACCTTTCTCACGACCTTTGTTTCCTATGTTCATCAAGTACTTCTGTGCCCACTCTAGTGCCTTTCCTGTTATTCCTCCTTGTCTCTCCATCTTGTGTATTAGTGTTTTGTAAAGAACTCGTATCAAAAGCTTTGTGGCAGTCTTTAAGGATGAAGTCTACCCATTCTTCCTTCTCTTGTCTTATTTTGGTGATCCAGTAATAATATTTATTCAAGTTTGTTAATTATGACTTTCCCTCTGAAGCCGTGTTGTGCCTCTGTTATCAAATTTACTGTCCGCAAATGTTCTACAATCCTTTTCATGATGACTTTTTCAAGATTCTTGCTTGGAATACAGGTTAATGACACTAATCTATAGTTTCATGTCTGTTCTCTTTCTTGATTATTGTAACTACATTTGGGTTTTCCAGATTTATTGTATCTGTCCCACTCAGGTGTAATATTGAATACCTTTTTATATATTCAAGGTCAAAGGTCACACCATGTAATCTTGAGATTAAAAACTCCATTTTTAATGAAAACAATCCTTCCTTAGCTTTGAAACAAAGTTATGAATTTTTTTTTTCGAGCTTCTAAGCAAATAATTTGTATTTTTGTTCACATTGGCAACCCTGCTGTATAAATATTGTGCATCACTGAGCACTGAAATTTTGCATATATAAATTAATTCATGTCCTCTACTATCCTACCAAATTTCATGAAAATCTGAGATGATCAGGTAAAAAAAGTCCATTTTTTGTGATGATTTGGCATGGAATTATGACCCATAATTCTTATGATATGGAAGATATCATGAATGAATTAGCTGCAAGGATCTTTGTAGCTATTTTATACAAATTTGTGATGACATCATTTACTTTAACATTAACATTATTGGATAAGTTCATTGAGATGTACTGACATGGCGCACATTATCAAACCAGATTTGTTGTGCTCCTAGTTTGTCAACCCCCCCATCTATCCTGGGGAACAAAATCCCTGTATCTACCCTTGGGTTCCTCCTATATATATTTATATCCTGTATAATAATGTCACTAGGCAAAGCTGCATTATTTATCATTTTCTTCACGTCATGTACTAGCTCAGTCTGTACACCTTATTGTTTATACTCTGCAATTATCACCCCCTTTTTAAAGTCCTTGCATATATTTAATTAAAGCATTGTAAGGTATGTAGAAAAATCTTAGTGCAATAACTGGGACATTCAACATAAAGAAGTCTCTCGTCGTGTCTAAGACTCTTCACATTGTTGGCTTTGCTGGCAAAGTTGTGGTGGCTATGAGTGGTCAGTGGCTATGATTATACAATGGTTTGAATTATATTTATTGATGTAGTGAGCAAAATACATTCTGTTAGGCTTGTTTATATATTTATATGCATTTTACATAATTGGGATGTTTATTGTAACATTCTATTTTGTCTAAGCCCATTACTTTACTTTCAATCTTCCCCAAGTCCCACCAACAGTCATTTAATATTATTTCTAAGGTGTTGCTTTATATGATAAAATATCTTGATTATTGTTAAATACTATACTTAAATAGAAGTGCAAATATATCCAGCACTGCTCTTATATTATTGAAAGTAATCAGTAATTTATTTAATAGAAATATCAATAGATTTAATTTAGTGAAGTTTTTACGAGTCAAGGCATTAATATGGCCATCATTTTCCTGGAGAATATCAAGAAGTTGCTAACATAATGCTGCTGCTGGCCATGGATGAACTTGAACTGGCTTCTGTAGACTTCCTGTGATTACTATAGAAATCCGGTTGTATAACTTTTTATCAAGTCAGGGTGGTGCGGTGGCTGGGAGTCTCCTGGTCGGGGGTTTGAGTCCCCCCCACAGCTCCAGTAGCTTTTCTTATCAAGTTGTTCTTATAAACTTGTGCATTTTTATACTTTGTTAATTTCTGTTTAATTTTTTTTTTGTGGGGTGGCAGCTTCTACTCGCTTTGTGAAGTGCGAAAAATGCTACCACTTCTTTGTTGTCTTGTCGGAAGTAGACTCTAAGCGAAAGAAAAAAGAAAAGAGAGAAGATCCGAGGACTAATTTCAACCGTAGACCTCCTCCACCCCCAAAGAAGGTATCTGCCATGTGATGATTTGAGTATAAATATTTACTACAGTTTCAGTCTAACTGAAGCTGCAGTAAATCTAAATTCACATTGCTTAGCATGCTCAGATGGATACATGGAATCTGTACAATTTGTTAGGCTCCAAGTCTGGTGGTCTAGAAGCAGCAGTTTCCAAGCACCACAGCACTGCAATGACAAACATGCTTATATGTTATTGGAAAGCAGTCAGTATTGTCTTGCATGAATGATTTGTTTGATAGATAAATATTGATAGATAAGTGTTTGATAGATAAATATTGTTTGATAGATAAAAGTAGGTTGAAGGAAGTAGTATAAAATTTTTTTTTAAATATAATAGGAGAGAAAATGTTAAATATTTGCAGAAGATGAGTCACAATAACATGGCTGAAGATATGATAACCAAACCACACATCAGAAGATGGAGAAACGACATATCGGACCGTCCTGGACCATTATCAAGTCATGTGAGCTCACACATGACTTGTCCTGGATGGACCGAAACGTCATCGTTGATCCGTCTTCTGATGTGTGGTTTGGTCATCGTGTGAAATATTTGACAGACCCACAGTTAGGCTACAATTTGAAGGTGCCTTCAAGAAGATAAAGGGTTATATCCTTTACCTTCCCACATTAGTAAAGTGTTTTAGCAATGTTGATCCATCTTGATTCATCTTCTATGGCAACATAGATCATATACCTTCTCACATGCAAGTGGTTTAACTTTTCACTTTATTTTTGCATTAAATACATTATGTAATTAAAGTTTCTATTTCCAGATCTATGAATATTTGGATAAGCATGTTGTTGGTCAGGAGAGAGCCAAGAAGGTGTTGAGCGTGGCTGTATACAATCACTACAAACGTATCTACCACAATATCCCACAGACAAAAACTGATCCTCTACACCTTGACTCTGCCAATATTCCTCAGGGACTTACCAATAGGGGTATGAGTTGGTGATTGTTCTTTTATGAGCGATTCAATTTACTGTAGAATGTAGAAATTAGTACTCTCAGGACTGACATTGATGTACAGTATATTTACCTACTGTATTGTATTGTACCATGTGCTTTAGTTTTATTGACTATCATGCTTTTAGTTTTATTGACTATTATTGAATCATGCATTTAACCATCACAATAAGTGATGGTTAAATGCATGATTCCATTGGTCGGGCTTCTAGTGTGGATAAAATGTTGAATGCGAACTGTGTAATAGGGTACTATGTTAACTCGTCAGTATTCTTAATGTTATGCTCCCTCTAGGAATGCTCTCCTATAATAGCGTGGTCAAACACAACTTTACTCACACATGCCAAACTTCCTTCATTAATTAAAATGCTTTTAAAGTAGAAAATAAGACACAAGAATTCTTTGTGCTGATTTGACTAAACTTAGGAGGTGTGGTTACTGCCTGCCTGCAGTGAAAATTCAGAAGGCTTAAAAAAATACTGAGGATTGCATAAGTAAACATGCACTGTACAAGACAGTAATATGAAAAGAAAAGGCAGAGTGCTTTATGTTAGCAAAGATATACATTGTATTCATTCTTTGGCATAATCACACAATTCTTGAAATGCATATACATACTGTACTTTATCTTGAGATCTCAAGATAACATATCATCTTTAGGTGTTTGACCCCGTGGTGCGCATAACATCCTAAAAGGTTGTACGTAATTTGCTAAGTTTGAAACATGACGATACATCATGATGCCAACCTGTGTACAGCTGCCGTCTTAATTATGGGGACACTATTTTTGGGACCTTTTTTTCCTGTCTTTTAAGGACTTTTTAAATTAACAATATAGGAAGACAAAATGCTAGTTTTGAAGAGTATTTTTGTGTGTGTATAGAGATATTGCTTGCTGTAACCCTTGTGCAGTGCAAGCATTAAGCTAAAACACCTGAACACGTTCCAAAGTTCTTCAAATTAGGACATTCGCAATAAGTGAATATTGAAATACTGTATGCAAATCTTAATAGATTTCTATTTGTTCTATTATTGATCTACAAGTTTTTGGGATTAATTAGTATTTATGCTAGCTTCATATGGATAAGAAGCATATATTTTTCAGTATTGTCTAAGAGTTTCATAGAATAATTTGTGCTCGACTGCCTGTATATGTATGTATGGGTTATTAAATATAATTTACTGCTCCATCAGATTTGCTTCACATTGCGGGCATCAGCCAGAGTCATGCATTAGGTGTGAGTGGCTACCAGAACTCAGACCAGCATCAGCAACAGCAGGACCCCCAGCAACAGATGGAACAGCACCCACATTCCAGACGACCCCTGTCCAGCAACTCGCACGGCTCGGACATCCTCGACGCAACCACTCACAGTTTAAGGCTAGAGAAGAGTAATATCCTTCTTCTTGGACCCACTGGTTCAGGTATATTAAATGTTTATTTATACTGTATATTAAGAAACAACTGGCATGTGTTACTATTGCTTTGTTGGGTGTTCATAAATTAGTCTAGTTTATCAATATCAAATTCTCTCTGCATTTTATACAACCAACTACATAGCATTGAGATGTGTATGGGTCTTATAGCACAGTGGTCTGCATCATTGGCTCGTAACTGAAGACCCAGGTTCAGTCCCCATATGGGACAGAAATGTTTGGCCACGTTTCCTTCTGCCTGATGGGTCTGTTCACTTAGAGGAATATAGGCCCCAGGAGGTAGATGATTTCTGTTGGTTGCATCCTAGGAAAGGTCATTAGTAGTTGGCATAAGAGTAGGTCTTGGTAACCCTAAATACAATCTTCCTATCTATGATAACAGGAATTATCATTATATTTCTGGGAATGAGTGATGGGTGAGCGAGTGGGATTGTTTATATCAATAGCAAGAATCCAATTTCCCTGAACTACAGTGTTGAAGATGGTACTCACATAAATGATTTAAATAGCATTTGTAACTTTGTAATAGCACCTATGTACTGTACTTGAGATAAAATATAATTACTGTATTTCATAGCACTCCTTAAGATTTTTATTTGAGTAATCAACATTGTGAGGAAATTGCTGAAAAGCTGCATACTGGCTGTTGGTAAAATTTGGTGGAAAATGAGCCAGACAATCAAACTCCTTCTGTACCTTTGTGCGGTGTTAGCATGCATGTGATTGTTTTCCCAATTATGTACCTCCTATATTATGTGAAATGAGAGGAAAAGCAGCTTCCTGTCTTGTTAGTTGTGTGATTTAGCTTCGTTTACATTTTCAGGTAAAACCTTATTAGCTCAAACCATAGCTCAGTGTTTGGATGTTCCCTTTGCCATATGCGACTGTACGACTCTGACTCAGGCGGGCTACGTGGGAGAGGACATTGAGTCTGTGATTGCCAAGCTGCTTCTTGATGCTAACTACAATGTGGAAAAGGCACAGACTGGTGAGAAACTTAACATTTTGGTAAATACAATTGATCCCTTTCACCACATATTTGATTTCCATTTGAAATCTAAAAATAAATTTGTAGATATTAAAATAACCTACCAGTACAAAAAGGCAATTAGGTGGGGCATAAAGAGTTAAATCTCACTTTCTCATAGTAATCACCCAAGTTCTTGGCTTTGACCTAATACAACCATAGCAGTTAAATCCTCATGGGATTTAACTGTATGAGGGGATATCTGAAATATTTTTTATCTGAATTACTGTGAGCCATTGGGCCCAAAGTAATGGATATTAGATTAAACAGTCTATATTATGTTCAGTTCTAGCCAGTCTAACATGTTTTTCCAAACAGGTATTGTATTCTTGGATGAAGTGGACAAGATTGGAGCTGTTCCGGGTATTCACCAGCTGCGTGATGTGGGTGGAGAAGGCGTGCAACAGGGGATGCTCAAGGTCAGTCCTGCATCAGACAAAAGAGTTTACCATTATCAACAACATTTCACACTACACAACACTTGGCCTGGAACTTCAAGAACAAGAGGTTCTTGATTTAAAGTTAACTAAACAAAGCTGCCTAAAAAAAAAATAGAAAATTAACGTTCAAAGAAGTTAGGTGAGAAGGTGGTGGAGGCCATCGGTAGTTTCAAAGCATTGTGTGATCAGAGAGTGCTGGAATGACTTGATACCATCAGCATAGCTTTCACCCTGTAACTACTCTTGGGTAATTACTGGAGCAACCTTAATATATAGAAATACTCAAGAAAGCACCAGGGTATGCATGCCCCAGATTAAGAACTGGTTTAGAGGTCCTCTGTTGAAAGGGATGGGGGTCATCGATTGAAAGAAGACTTTCTAATTGTACAGAACCTGTACTCCAATCATTGTAGCTCACATAATGTTTGAAAAATAATGTATATGCTTCTCTCTTCTGCAGATGCTTGAAGGTACAATTGTCAATGTGCCAGAACGCAACTCTCCCCGAAAGTTACGTGGGGAAACGGTTCAGGTTGACACAACCAACATTCTTTTTGTTGCTTCTGGAGCCTTCAATGGTCTTGATCGTGTCATATCAAGACGGAACAACGAAAAGGTAAAAAAACTCTCACTGGCCAAATTCTATAGTATATTGTGTTTTGGAGGTTATGTGTAGGCATGTTCAGTCAGTGCTTCATTTGCTTTAAATTTAAGTACCTGTAATACTGTTCAGTCATCTGAAAGTTTGCATTCAGATTATAATAAGTTTACATGGCCTTGTTTGTGTCTGGGACAACCCCCCCCTCCTTGATCTCAATTGGGAATTTCCCTTTCTTATTGGGGGGATGAGGATTGGGGTGTTTTAATGTGAACGCTTCCCAATATATTTCATTATCCATTATCAGTATCTTCTTTTTTTTTGTGGTGGTGAGGCATTCACTGGAAGGAGATAGAAGTGCTGTATTTCAAATTACACCAGTCATTCACCACACCTTCTGCTCTCAACAACAATTTACATTTTGTTAAGAGACATTCTGGGACCAGTTTTTAATGCCTACCAAATTTGTTTGCACACGCTAGTTTCCCATATCACAAAGATGAACATTGACCCAGGACACATTTGTAAGCATGAAAGTAGATTTAGAAAATACCACATGGAGATCAGCATTTATAATATCGTGAGACAGTATGAAGATTTAACAAATATATTGGTTTCACCGTGAGTACCTTCCTAATAATAATAATAATAGAGCTCGTAAATTTCCAAGAGATTAATTTTACTTTTAAGCTTACCACAAAACAAGTTAAGTTCACAGTATTCAATTCATTTGGGGTGTATGGGTCTGGAATGTTTATTACCACGAAAGTGTGGATGGCAATTTATATGATGTGGGCGTGGATCACTAATTCCTCTGGGCTTCAGTAGTAGTCAGGGGAAAGTAAAAAAAAAATCCAGTTTGGCAGCAAGGTGCTGCTTCTGGAAAATTTCCTAATTAAGACTACTCATAGCCCAGTCGATAGAGCTTCGGCCTCACACTCGTGGGGTCCACGGTTCAAGACCCATACAGCCCAGGTGAAAGGAATGTTTATTTCCACAAAAGTGTGGATGACAATTTATAAGTTCACAGTAATTTATTTAATAGGAATCAATTTTTCTTGTACCTTTTCAGATAAAAGGTTTTTGTAAAATGTGAGTGAATTTACAATGATCGTTTTAGTTTGCAAACTACACACCAGTTGGAGCTCTGTTTTGTAGGGTAATGAGAAATTGCAAGTTAATGTAAAATCTGTTTTAGGTTCAACACTTGAGGTTCTTAGTTAATAGTGCTTGCAGGTAGACTCTGCCTCTCCATTCTAGAGTGCCTGATATATCTCGTCACAAACCTTCGTGATTTTATTATACCTGGTTTTGGTGCTGGGTTTTATTTCTGCCTGTATTACCACTACTACTGTTACATCAGGTCCATTCCCTTCCTTTGTTACACACTGTACAAGTACTTTCGTACGTGTCGGACTCATCTTTTCAGTTTCCGCCTCTCATTCCGTTCCTCTTTATGTGGAACAATTTGTTCCTCTACCTTGTCTATTCATATTAATTTTTGTTATCTAAATCATGTCTCCTCTGGTTCTTCTTTCTTCCAACATTTGTAGGTTCAGTTCTCTTTGCCTCTTTTCGGTTGGTAACTCAAGCTTCTAATTTCTGGTACAGTATCAGTCTTGTAGCTTATCAGTTTTCTTTGCGGTCTTTGGAAGAGGTGTAGGTGCTCTTCTCTTTAGATTTGCTCTCCTTGTCTTCTCTGTCTAATGGACTCATTTCTGAATACTCATGTTCAGTACTAGTGACTACTGCACCTGCTATGATTTCCTTCATGCTTTTCACACACTTCAGCATGTGAGAAAATAAGCAAAAATATCTCTACATGTATGTGATAACCAAATCAATAGGCAGAAGTCTTAAAAAAAAATATTATGGGTATTGATACTTGATGACATCAAGATTGCTAATTCATTGCAGTGCTGTACAGTACAATACAGTTGATGAAATGTTCGGAGGAGACTTTGCCTTTAGCCTTCCCTCCCTCCCCCCCCTCCCCCCTTGCCTTCAATGTGGAAAAAGGTGGACGTAGATGAAGACACATTTGCTTTCAACAGTATTTTTCTAATAAAAAATATACATAATAATCCATGAAGGTTTATTATTAAATAATCATCTGTTTATGATTTCAGGACAAGTTGCCCCATTTTGAACTTTCTTCAAGTCAAAACTAACCGTGCTAGACAAACATATGCGTACCTAACCTCTACCGAACTATACAATATACACATGCAGGCGATGAGTCACAATAACGTGGCTAAAGTATGTTGACCAGACCACACACTAGAAGGTGAAGGGACGATGAATCAACTTGAGAATGGTCCAGGACGCACCGAAATGCCGTCGTTCCTTCACCTTCTAGTGTGTGGTCTGGTCGACATACAGTATACATCTAGCATAATGTAACTTATCCTTAGAATTCATCCAGAGAAGTGTGGCTAGGCAGAAGGGTCGATTCATTCTGATATCATCATTTATTGCTTTTATCATCAAACCTTGTAATTTTTATTAATTATAACTAACATATATTAACTATTTAAAGGATTCTCGTACCCTTCTTTTTTTCATGCCACAGTTTCAAGTAAGTCTAGAACTATGTAAAGAAGTGCTTTTTATTTACTGTTGTTATTTGAATAACCCTAATAAAAAAATTGATGGTCACTTGAGAAGGTACTGGTATGTGAGAAGCCCAGGGCTCTGCTGCACTTCTTGGTGGTGATGGTTCCCCACTTCTTGGTGGTGATGGTTCCCCACTTCTTGGTGGTGGTGGTTCCCCACTTCTTCGTGGTGATGGTTCCCCACTTCTTGGTGGTGATGGTGGTGTCCCACTTCTTGGTGGTGGTGGTGGTTCCCTGCTTCTTCATGGTAGTGTCCCACTTCTTGGTGGTGGTGGTGGTGGGGGTTCCCTGCTTCTTCATGGTAGTGTCCCACTTCTTGGTGTGGTGGTGGTTCCCTGCTTCTTGGTGGTGGTGCCTCAGTACCTTGCTTCTTGGTGGTGGTGCCTCCTATGTATGTGGGCAGCACAAAATATCCATCAGACTGTGCAACAAAGTTGTTGCCAGACTCAGGTTAGGTTATAGCTACCTGCGGCAGGTGGCTACAGATGACAAATCTCCCAGTCCTGAGCACTCCAGGTGCATACTCTGTGAGCAGGAAGTGAGTCATGACCTCACTCACTACATTAGTGAATGTCCAGTTATTAGACCCTTCAAAGACCCAAGCAAGAGGTACCTGAAATTTTGCAAACACTTTATTGATACGTGTTCTTGAGGATATGCACCCAAAATGTGCCAGTGCAGGCTACTAATCACCTTGTCTTGTTTGACTAACCGTCCTGCGAGATGGGGGGCATCGTAATATTACTGCCACCTTATTCACTCTTGTGTCCTTGATGATATCCTCATAATTCACCCAAAGTTTGCCAGTGTAGACAACTAATCACATGGCCCTGTATGACTAACCATCTTGAATTATGAGAATTTTTAGCATCACATAGCTTCTTCTTGACACACGGTATACTTCCCCTTTAAATAAGCTGCACAAAATGCAGTTGTACCTAAATGTGTTAATAAAAAGAATTGGTGATGCCTCAGTGCCTGGGTTCCTGGTAGTGGCAATCCATTGTTTGGTGGTGACACTGCCCCACCTCCTTGTGGTGGTGCCACGCTTCTGGGTCAACTACCGTACATGATGGAATAATGTTAATTGATAACATTTCATCCAGTCATGAACACTCAAGATTTTCCTCTTTTGAGAGAGCCTGTAGCAGAGTCAAATGTCATTTGGGTACAGTCTTCTCTCTCCCTGGCACTTGTTGTTATAAAGTTTCCCTTAGTTTCCCTTTGTAATTTTTCAAACCTACTCCTTGTGTACCAGTGCTAAAACACATTTCATGTCTCTTATGTGTATCATAGACAGTACACCTTTTTCCCACATCCAGGCCTGTATTCTTATTTCTCTCTTTTGCATGTTTTTGTCTGCTATGCTTGCTACATGTTGCATTATTGTATGCCTCCTTGTGAAGCACTGTATATACAACCTGGCCTCTCCCTTAATACATCACACTTTTAACTGACTTGGCCATTCCATTAACAAATGTGATGGTAGTAGTAAAAAAGCACCTTAATATGCATGATTTCTAAGCGTCGGCATCGATAAGTTAGGTGGGTTGCTTAGGTTCATACGTTTCTAATTAGGCAAAACAATTCCAATTTTTGCAGTGTGGCAAATTTAAAGATTGGGTTAATATAGGGACCAAATTGTTACTTTGTCATTATTCTCCTCGCTTTGTCCAATAAAGAATATCTCGTCATTTACTGGACATTCTGATTGCTTCGTTTGTCAATTTATTCAGATATGAGACTGTTTCTGTCATGCATGCTTTCCCCACTCAAGACATTTTACTTATGTTATATCATATTTTATTCTGTTAATCAAACTCAAGCAACAGTAGTGGAATCTGTATATGTAGAGTATTTCCCCAACATTGTACTGTATTTCCTAAATTACCTCTACGCCTGGTCAGAGACGGAACTACAGGAAGACGTAACCCCATTACAACTGCCATAAGGTACAGTAGTGTAGTCCTCCACGTCTCAGAAGTCCTGTACAAACCTAGCTACATTTGAGGAAGTTTGGTAATCATATAATTTAAGAAATGCAAGCATGAAAAGAATAAGGTATTAATGATGGCTAAATAGATAAGCTCAGAAGTAATGTAGATACTATTATTGATCAAACTAATTCCTGATAGTTGAGGCAATCATGGTTATGATACAACCCTATAGTTAAGGGGTTAATATCACGATCATGGTCTTGGTCACGAACACAACCCTCACAATTGAGGTTATCTTGAGATGATTTCGGGGCTTTAGTGTCCCCGCGGCCCGGTCCTCGACCAGGCCTCCACCCCCAGGAAGCAGCCCGTGACAGCTGATTAACACCCAGGTACCTATTTTACTGCTAGGTAACAGGAGCAAAGGGTGAAAGAAACTCTGCCCATTGTTTCTCGCCGGCGTCCGGGATCGAACCCGGGACCACAGGATCACAAGTACAGTGTGCTGTCCGCTCGGCCGACCGGCTCCCTTGGTCACGAACACAACCCCCACAGTTTAGGATAGCTTGGTCACGAACACAACCCCCACAGTTAAAAGCACTGCAGAGATAAATTTATAAGGAATACAAAAGCTAACTTGAGTTGACTGTTATAGCACCTTCACACAAAAAGTAACTATTGGTGCTAAATTTGTCAACCCAAATATTATCAATAAAGTTCTTTTGGTACAATATTTGTATTAAGAAGCACAGTTAATAGTTTATTAATACAGTATATACTGAAATTAATTGAACATTTTGAATGAAATTCCAGAATTAAGAATTTAAAGTATTTCCATATTAATTTGTTAAATAAAATACAGTGTTTAATAAAATGTAACTGAATAGTATATTGTAATAATACTTTAAGTGTACTGTATTACTTGAGGTCTTGGCAAAGCAAGTTAAAGGCTATAAATTTGTTAGATATTTATGTATAAATATCAAACCAAACAGGGGCCATCTTAATTGAGATATCTTCTGTGTGCCATTATCCATAATTCCTTAATTATCCCACACCTTAATCTTTGATGGTTCGTTCCAGTACTTAGGCTTTGGCATCGGAGGGCAGTCGGCGGGTCGGCGAGCGGCATCGCAGGCGGACGTGGCTCACCTCACAGCCAGCACAGATGCAGAGGAAGACAATCAAGAGAAGGATGCTCTCCTGACCAAAGTGGAAGCAAGGGATCTCATTGAATTTGGAATGATTCCTGTAAGTGGTGGCTCATTTAGTCTCTTGGAGTTATGAGCTTCTGTTGAAGTAGCTTGGGTAGAATTCACACTCGGTTTTTCCCACTTTAATTTTCTGTGAAATACGTTACTTTATTTGTTTTTCAATACAGGTATAAAGGAGCGTACACGAATAATGTTTATACTCCATGATCATCCTGAATCATATCGTAATAACATCACATCATCATCCTGATTCATATTGTAATAACACATCAGCTGTGATTCATGTCTTCCTAATATCACATTTGACATGAATACTGATGGATTCATATCTTAAAATGTAGTTGATGGTGCAGTTCATTGTATAAGAAAGATGACAGGAGTAACAGTTTTAGAAATACAGTCTAGTTATTCTTATAAATTGCTAGTAATTCAGGGCTTCTCTTGTGATGGTGTGAGTGAAAATAGTTTATTTCTACCAATTTCATAACACATTTGTCTACTTTATAACACTGTAAGTGAGGTCCTGTGAACCCATTTCTGCCTTTTTGTCCAAACAGTGTTTACATGATAAACATACAAGTGTGTAACTATTACTTTTGTAGGAGTTTGTTGGGCGGTTTCCTGTACTGGTTCCATTCCACTCATTAACTGGCATCATGTTGGTGAGGATCTTGACCGAACCCAAGAATGCTCTCGTTCCTCAGTTCCAGATGCTGTTTGGCATGGACAAGGTAAAGAAGGTCCCTGACCTTGTGAGTAGATCACATATAATAGGGGAAGGGGTCATAAAACGAATGCCAGAAATCCCATATTGAGTTCAGTAAATAAAATAAGATCTTTGAACCATCTGTGTGCATGTTTTCATGTTGATTATACAGTATGCTTAAACTGTGAATATTTATAATCTTTGCAAATTGTATTAGTTTGTTATTTAAATTAATTTGTTCACAAATTATCTATCATATTGCTAAGAAAATTAAAAATAAATCTGTTCTAGTTTACATTTGTTAATGTACAAACATTTTCTTACCATGGTATGTCATATGTTGTAAATTGCTAAAGCAATTTGTTAAACTAGGATATGTTAGAGCAGGAGAGTTTGTTATTAAGAAGAATGTTCAGATGAATGTGTAAATATTTGCTCACTAGATTTTCTGGAGAAGGATTTACTCGAGCCTTGAACACTTCCTCCGTTTCCCATCTGTAGGTTGAGTTGAGCTTTACTCCTGATGCCATGGAGGCCATCTCCCAGCAAGCAATGGAGAGAAAGACGGGAGCCAGAGGTCTTCGTGCCATCATGGTAATATACCTGCAGTTGTTTCTGGGGGAGACAGCCAGTGTGTCACTGTGTGGCAGATAGCCACCGTAGTGTATGGTGAAGGGGGGGGGGTAATTGTTCACAGGTCACTGTGTGGCAGATAGCCACCATAGTGTATGGTGAAGAGGGGGGGTAATTGTTCACAGGTCACTGTGTGGCAGATAGCCACCATAGTGTATGGTGAAGAGGGGGGGTAATTGTTCACAGGTCACTGTGTGGCAGATAGCCACTAGTGTATGGTGAAGAAGGGGGGGGTAATTGTTCACAGGTCACTGTGTGGCAGATAGCCACTGTAGTGTATGGTGAAGAAGGGGGGGTAATTGTTCACAGGTCACTGTGTGGCAGATAGCCACCGTAGTGTATGGTGAAGGGGGGGGGGGTAATTGTTCACAGGCTGTTATTCAAAATATAGTTTTACCTAACACAATTTTACAGGACTGAGATTCATTAGATGCAGCTAATTTTGACCTCATAGCTCAGGCCTATCAATTATCGGACTAGCCTTGCATTAACTCTCTGTATTTTCCTGATTTTGATTTAGTGTTTTTGAAGTATTGAAGGTGGCTTCTTGCCGGAGATCCATATTCTATGACTGGCCGAATATAAGCTGTGTACAGCGTTCTGAATGATTCCCTGCTGAATTTTCAAAATGTTAATTCTTATTTTTGCCAGTTTCGTAGCTGTTACTGATGCTGTTGTATTCATATGTATATTCCCTTGTGTTGGTTCTATGCTTTTCAACGGGGTTATTTTGCACTTGCTGCCGTGTCTCCTGGTCTTCTGAGGAGGTATTTCCAGGTACAGATTTGGAAACAGTTCCTCTGTATGTCTGATGTTAGTGCTGGCATTTTGTCCATTTTTTTTATTTTTCTTACTCCTACCATATCCTCCCTTTTATATGGTTAGGTTAGGGTATCACTGTTCTTCTGGCCTCTAGTCCGCAATGTCAAACTTCATTGCTTTACACTTGTTGAAACTGAACTCCAGTAACTATTTCTCTGACCAAGCATGTAACTTATTTAGGCCCTCCTGTAATATTGTGCAATTGTCTGTGCCAGGTATGTCATTTATTTGTATAAGGAATAGTAGATATCCAAAAGTGAAACCCTGTATAACCCTGCTTACTACTACACCCCCCCCCCTAATCATTTCATCCTGCTATGAATCTGTTTCCTTTCTGTCAGGTACTCTCTGAATCCAATTTAGTACCTTCCCAGTTTATCCAGCCTGCTTCAACATTTTGTGTGTCAGTCTGTTAAGTGGACAGTTTCAAAGGCTATTTGATTGTCAAAGAATATGCAATCCACCCAGCTTAAATCTAAACATCAATAGTCTTTCAAGACTGTAGTGTTAGTTCTGAATTTCCTTTCATGTCACGGTACCTAATGTTATTAAGTATTTAACACATATAGTACTTTATATTTTAAAAGTCTTTATCACCAATGAATGACTTCACATAGAGAATAATCACACTAACATTGTTTAGAAACATCAGAATCCCATTCTGGATCCAGAATGGGATTTTCACACAATCCACCCATGCACTCTTGACACTGTCATCTAGGACTTGTTCTACCTCTTGCGCTCCTCTTTCAATGCACTGAGTAATCACACTACATGTGCGTCCGCACATGTGTGCTTGGGAACACCCACCGCATAGGTTCGAACTATCATCACTGCTCCTACAAATTTTCTCAATTAATGATTTGTAAATTTGTATTAAATATAATTTTGCCAATGATTTGACAATGATTTTACCATATTTGAGTAATCTGTTATAAAAATAGTATAGGAAATGTTAGTAATGTATGTCTATCCAATCTCTAGGAAAACCTCCTCTTGGATGCCATGTTTGAGATTCCGGGATCGGATATTGTAAGCGTGCACTTGACAGGTGAAGCAGTGAGAGGAGAAGCGTCTCCCATATACATCCATGGTCAGCCAGTCTCTCCAGAAGATGACCAGGAAGAGGAGCAAGCACTTGCTCAGGCCAAGTGAGAAGAGGGGGACAATAGGCAGTTTAAGTTTTTAAGAAAGTTAAGTTCAAGTCTGCAGCCAACTCGTCCTGATTCGATGTTTCCATACAATATAAGTTTCCTATTTGTATATAATTCTGTTCCTATATTGAATAGTATTTGCAGTTGATTATGTGTGGTTATTTTAGTATGAACAGCGGTAGCTCCTGCCAAATAGATGTATTTTGCGAATTTGAGAGATTATGGCACTTGGGGTGGTGAGAAATTAATCCTTTGATCTATATGTACTGTATTTCTATAATAGATCTGGAAGATGCTAATCTTTTCTGAAAGTATTATAGAATAAAAACAAAAATTTGTGTGTGCGCACGTGTACATACATGTGTTTCTCTCACACACACACACACACATACACACTAAAACAGCAGTCGCCAGCCTTTCGGAGCTCACGGATCACCAAATTCATAATTTTAAATCCCATGGACCACTAATATGAATCCCCTGGTCCACCAAACAAGAAATGATAGTTATTAAAGTCAAACTATTTGATGCCATTAAATATAACAATTATAGAAAATACACAGTTACATACAATACACAAATAAAATTGTCTCGAGGACCACTGGTTGGAGACCGCTGCACTAGGATACTTTCTAATATATTTCTGGCACCTTTGTTTCCTTAGCATAAATCTGTATCCTCTTGTTCTTGAAGTTGCTGGTTTCAGGCATTCCTTTTTGTCAGTTCGATCAATTCCTGTTAGTATTTTGTAAGTGATGATCAAATCACCTCTCTTTCAACTAGAAGATTGAAGAAAAAGAGATGATATGATCACCACTTACAAAATACTAACAGAAATCGACTAAATTGACAAAGAGAAATTCCTGAAACCAGCAACTTCACAAACAAGAGGACTCATATTCAAGCTAAGGAAACAACAGTGCCAAAAAATTTTAGACAGTTTTCTTTTGCAAACAGTGTGGTAGACGGTTGGAACCAGCTAAGTGAGAAGGTCTAGAGGCCAAAACCATCAGTACTAGTACTGTATTTTCAAAGCACTATACGACAGAGTGCTGGGACACCATGAGCATAGCTCTCATCCTGTAACTACACTTAGGTAATTACACACACACACACACACACAATATTTAATCTACTTTTCTTATCTCTCATTATTAATGAAATAAGCTATTTTTGAAATGTTACATAAGCTGGAACTTTGTTAAAGGTGCTTAGCATGAGTTAAGAAGAATGTGGTGAAATCATGAGTCTAGGGAAACGAGAAGGGACGCCCTAAGACAGCCAGGTAATGTAAGCTAGTTCTGCGCCATGCTATATTACTAACTTTTAAGCCTCTGTAGTTCTCTTGTGGTTTAGTGGTGTAATTAAGCAGTGTTTGGCTAACCAACTAAGAAAATTCATAAGCAGAATAATAGCTTGAATTTCACAGAAATTTTTCCAGCAATGTAACTGAAAACGGACATGTGCGCGCACACGCCTCGTGTCTTTTAAGAAATGATGTGAATCAAACTTAAGACTCGTTGATTTCAAGAATTGCTACATTTGGGTTAGTACACTGTAATCGGACCAAGGTGGCCGAATATTTACACGAGGCTTGTTATTGTGACAAGCTTGGCCCTTGTACGCGTCATTTCCAGTGGGTCCCCCGTGGTGGCCCCGTCTTTGGGGGCCGTCGACGAGACCAACAAGAACATTCAACACTGGATTTATTGTAATGATTTCTGTGCCATCCTTGTGAGAACTCTTCTAAAAGTTATTTACAAAAAATCAAGAATATGCCTTTTTTTTATATAGATAGTGAATAAAATTGCTGAATTTTATTTGCGAATATTATAATCCTCCCCGTTTCATTTCAAATGTGCAATAAATATTAAAATATTTTTTCATTTTAAATATCAAAGTAATTGGTGATAAAATAAAAAATGTTGTTGCATGATTTCCAAACAATGTTCTCTATTGGTAAATTGTATAAAAAGCAACAATGCTGAGCTCCGTTATATATTTTACAATTGTGCATGAACCAGTCGAGGAAAGTAGAGCCGTGATACACCATAGCGTACAGTACAGTATATATTTGATCAACAAATCTTGGCCTTTAGATGAAACATTTACACTATTAGTTAATATTAAGTACTGTACTTACATTATACAAGTTGCATTCGTATATGTAGGCAGTGTGTTCAAGTTTATGTATGCGTGCAAGAGTAATTGTGTGGGGAGGGAGGGGGGTGGATATTTGTATGTTACATCGTATTCATTTGAGGTGTGACTGGGGTGTCATATAAACTCTTTGGTCAAGTCTTGTTGTATTCTCTAATTGCTTCTCCTTTCTTCATTTATTTAGATTTAACGTCATTACTGTATGCTTGGCTGTTAAAGAATTTCCATTTTAAGGTAATTTCTTTACATCTTAAAAGCTCGCTAGTTTACCAACAGTACTGTTGTACAGATTTTTTTTTTTTTTTTTTTTTTTTTTTTTTTTTTTTTTTTTTTTTTTTTTTTTTGCCACTTGAGGTTTTTCTTGGTGCTCTAGTGACAGACCCAGGCTTATAACACGTTCAGTCTCCAAATGATCATCGTAAGTATCCAATAACTTTTGGTGTCGGGTTGTCTCTGAAGCTGAAAAACGTTCTTCGTGCCTTGATCTTGTCCATATCCACTCGGAGATTAGAGTTATCACATGGGCTTATGGCAGAGAAAAGAAGGCAGGATTCATACCATCATAAGATCATTTTATTTGTTTTCTGTAATGTGGGTAATTTGCAGCAGTATAATAAGTCTTGGCAGCAACTTTTGGTTGTAGAGCCTTGTTATTAAATATTTGTGCATTTTTAACACTTTATATTTTGGTATATATTCCGTGATTGGTAAAGAAGAATCACATTATATTTTTTTATCTTTTGTATTATACAGTACAAGTTAAGAATAACTACAGTAGGAAGTGCAACCCAGAAAGATTGAGATTGGACTCTGATGACATGCAGGTAGATAATGCAAGTACACTACATTCTGTACAGTGGTTAGATTAGATTTATTTTGTATGGTGACAAAGTTTAAGATAAGGGTAAAATATACCCGATACTGTTTGTCTTGTATTCCATGATCAATTATCATCATTCTGTCTTTAATAATAAACTCATCACAACTATCTCAGTCTGATCTCTCTCTCTCTGGCCAGATCTAAATTTTCTGATTGCATTACTAATAATGTATTCCCTATTTAGTTTCAATATGTTTTGCACTGACTTGAAATGTCAAGGTTTATATGATGGTAAAAAGAAGATTAATATTGAGGTTGGAAAGGAGTCATCTCCACGGGAGCACGATAATGAAAACTTGGAGATTCTTTGGTAAGAACTAGTTTTCTGCTTTTCTGTATTTGATTAATATATCTTACTGGAGATAACATTGCATCAGTGAAAGCCTTAAAAATTGCAGTCAGTAACACTGACTGCAATTTACTGAACAAATCCACAAGTGCCGTGATGAGGGTTCGAACCTACGCACGGGATGCTCCCAGCTGCGCCTTAGTCAGCTGTGCCACGACATGGTAAAAAGAATTGCAACCTGGAGTACTGCTGCCCTCACTAGGATCTTGTGGATTTGTTCATTTGATATATGAGGCTATTGTGATTTGTGTGTGTGTGTAATTTACTGTTACTCTGAAACAATATGGGATGCACTGATGTAGACATTAACTATGTTACTGATATGAGGGTAGACAAGAAGCTGATATAACTTCTTGGTGAATATATTACTGAGGTGTATGTAAATGTATATAGATGTTTAAAATATGTTACAGCTCAACTGTGCCCATCTGCAGAGTTACCTATCATGCAGGTGCCATGGAATGTAGAACCAAGAGTTATACACTCCATTATCAGTCTGAAATATTGATAATAATGTGTATGACTTAAGATTGATAATGGAGTAAAGGTGAACCTTACTTAACAACAGGGTTAGATTCCTGAAAACCGTGACTTTAACAGAAATGACGCTAAATGAAACCAGAAACCTTATACTGTAGATCTTATAAGCAAGGGTTATGTTCCTAGGGTGTTAGGAAAGATGATATTTGGTAATGTTTTGCTCATTCATCCTTATACTTACTTTTAGCTTAGTTTCTAATGATATCTTTTGTTTATTTAGCCTTTCATTAGGATTACTGCCTGTTATAGGCCATTTACCCATCATGCCTTCTTGTCCAAGGAAATTTTTTACTAATAATATTGAGCTTGGAACTTGCACACCTTGTTTATGTCCATGATCAGCTGGCAAGATGCATTTGTTTCGGCAGCAGCTAAATTCACTTAATAAGTTAACATAGCATGTGGTTGTATTATGTTATACAGTGTGGTACAGTATTATATAATTTTTATGTATAGTACTGTACAGTATTTTGTGCTATTACTTTCAGTAAACAAAAAGTTTAGTGTTTAGTGCAGTATACAGTGTCCACTGACAATGTGGGTGTTAACCCCTCATATGCTAAATTTTATTTTTCTATTAGTATCATAAGCTTTCACATAGTTTTCTCTATCTTACATTAGAAAACTTAAATTCCAGGACTGTTGGTACATCTGATGTTAAATTTATTTATTTTCTAATGATATAAAAATGAAATGACATTAACTGGGGCGATGTTAAACAAGATTTACCTGTACTTGCCTTGGCTTTTGGACTCTGTTTGCGATCTTAGCTAAAGTTATTATTCATCATGCAAAACAAGAGCTAGATATATAGCAATGAGCAAATATGCTGCAACCAGTTTAGACTACTCCTAAACATAATGGGCAGTACTACCTGACCTGTAACTGTGTTCAAAAGAGAACTGATAAACTACTTCTCCAAAGAATACCAGATCAGCCAGGCTGTAATTCATACATGAGACTGCAAACAGCAGTGTCTAACAGTTTGGTTAACCAGGCCTCCCTAGGTTGTGGGGGGACATTGATTCCTGACACCAACAATAGGGAAAATGTTGACCAGACCACACACTAGAAAGTGGAGGGACAATGGCGTTTCAGTCCGTCCTGGACCATTCTCAAGTCAATTTTTCAACCATGTTATTGTGACTCATCGTCTGCATCTGAATAGGGAAAATGAGATGCATTTGTGTTTACAAAGTCTGCAATGTGTACACACTATGTTCGGCATCAGTTCAGCTCCCTCCTGTGGCTAAATTCCTTGGTATTATGAGTTTGTTTAATTAGTAATTATTCAGAATTATTATTAGTACAGTACTGCTTCTACATTGGTATCTATATCCATTTTATTTTAATGCCTCGTAGTTCAGCCATAAAGTACCTGGCTTAGTTCATGGTTATTAATAATCATAATATTGTATTTGTAATTATTATGGATTATTATTTAGCGGCTGTAATGACTTAGTAGCTTATAATGTGTATGGAGAGATCCTGACAGAGGAAACTGGATAAATTCTGCAATTATTGTCACACTGGAAAACTATAAAGCACAAACATGAGCCAAGACAGGGAAAGTGATGGTTGTGTAACTCATAAACTCGTATGTTCAGTATACTGGAATTGTCTTATCCACTAAAGTATTATACTTCATAAGTATTATTATACGTACTTCAGTGTTGATAAATATGTTTAACGTAAACAGATTGTACCGGCAATTTACATAATTTCAAAATTACATGTGCCAAGACTTATAAATTATAACATTTAAATGAGCAACTAATGGCTATAGGTGCTCCTCTTGTTGCCCGAGGAAGCCATTTTTTTCCTATGTCTGCAGTAAACTTGCATGACAGTTAGCGAGCGGACGGTGGTTTAGTGTGTGCTGCAGAACATTCATCTTCCGAGGGACTCTGCAAGGGCTTTACAATTTTGGCAGTGATGAATTTAGTTCTCTATATTACCCAAGATTTTTTAAGATGATAATGGAATTTGGTTGAAACTCAAACTAAAACATTAATTCTTTACAAAGGGCTGAATGTTAAAATTTAAAACTGTTGTCTTGCCCCTATCAAATCTGATTTAGGAATGTATTTTGTATTGATAGATAATTAAAACTCGATCACAGTGGCTTTGGCATTGACAGAATGTAAAATGTGATTGTACCTTTAATAGAGTACTGTACCATTATATTTAAAGAAATTATGTTTTCAAACTAAATTTGGATATGAATGTCTTAGGATCTCCATTAAACATGAAATCTTAATTTATCTTACAACACAAACTGATACCTTACAGAAATACTTGCAAGTTTCTCATTGTTAGGGACAAAAAATAATAGAGAAGCCAACACTGTCAGCAGACTTCGATTCATATTTAAACAGAGCAGTAGTGTGTAAATGTCTGTGAAAATATCAAGAAGACATTTCAGTATAGGGGAAGGGGCAGGGGAGGGGGTTACAAGTCTTCACCTGGTTGACCTGACCCCCAACCAGAGAGGCCTGGTCAAGACCCCAGGCCACGGGGACATTGATCTTGGAATCATCAACAGGTAAGTGACTGATAGTATGGGTTAGGACTTTACAGAACTTAAACAAGCGGGACTCTCCAAGGGAAAAGGGGATAAGGTAGGCATTATATGAGAAGACACATTGCAAGAATGCTGACTAAGAAGCTTGCAAATGGACAATCTGTGCTGTACAAGAAAACATCTGCATAGTTTTCAATTGGAGCACCAGTTGGTATGCAGTACAAGGCTTTGTAGGGTCTGTGAAGTATTGAAGGCAATGGCGACTGCAGTTGTCTTTTCAATGGAACACTTACCTCTGCATACATGCTCTGGATTGTGGAAGAACAAAATGCACCCTGAAACTGAGGCACGGGCACATAAGATGCAG